GCCTGCATGCAGAGTCACAAAATTTTAGAGCTGGTGGGGAATTTAGAGTTCACCTAGTCCTAACCATACCTTTAAAAAGGTAGAGCCTCAGGCTTCTACCCTGAGAGGCATGTATTGCCTTGAGTCACATAGCTTGTAGCTGGGACCACAACTCCCAGTCCAGAATGCTTCCCTAATCTGCACCTGCTTGGTAAGTACTGTGGCCAGAAGAGCCAGTCTTCTTTCTTCGTTATTGCAAAGTCCAGAAGTCTCAACTGTTACAACATGGTTGCATAGCAGCTTCTATCAAAGTTCAGCAAATTATCAATGTCATACTTCCACGTGTAACAAGAGCTGTACTGGAAGAAGATAAGAAGTGGACTACAGTTCTCTGGGAAATGTAGTTTTGTAAGTGATAACAGCATTAAATTATACCACTCTGCTTTGCTTTTATTTTTCTTCTTCTTTGTTAAAATAGGGGGTTAACATATTAAGCAATGGGACTTTTCAGAAACATGATCAGTTGCTTGCAAAAAAAGATTTATATCCTATTTCTCCTTTTAAAATACTTCACAAATAAGGACTTTAAAAACTAATTTCCAAGTTCATATATTGCTCTGGGGGCTATAAAATGGTACAACCACTTCAGAAAACTGTTTACTGGTTTCTTATAATGTTAAATATACACTTATTCTATGACTCAGCAATTCCACTACTAGGTATTTCAAGAGAAAAGACAACACAGAGACTTATATAAAAATATTTATATCAGTTTTGGGGACACCTGGCTGGTGCAGTCAGTTAAATGACTGGCTCTTGGTCATGATCTCAGGGTCCTGGAATTGGGCCCACTTCTGGTTCCACGCTCACCATCTTTAGTAATCCACTGGTGATACTGAAGTTTCCTGTGGTCCAGTGCATGTCTTTGCATATATACAGCATTGTATAACTGTGGAGCAACACTGAATATTACACATGACTCTTTAGTGTGTGCCCATAGCAAACTGGCATGGATGTGAACATGCTGCATTTCCAAATGCAATAGGCCTTTTGTTCATTCAAAATAGTATGCCCTCTCATTTGGTAATATACCCAGGTGGACACTTTGAAGAAAATGCAATGCCAATTTCAAGTAGTGTCAGAATAGCTGTGTTTTGGCCAAAATAGGTTTATTGGTTTGTTTGTTAAGAAGTATGTGACTTGTGTGATCATGTTTCCCTATTTATGCTGGGTGTCAGGAAGCTTATGGTCTAATCTGAGACCCACTCCTAGCAAAAATACAAGACCATCTGACTTGTTTCTTGGGGATTACCTTCTTTGCTCCTATGATTATTTTCCCTTCCTACTGATCTCCTTACTTAATCAGTTTTTCAGCAGCTTTTGTATATCTTTTTCCAAATACACATTTAATAGATTACATATATGTAAATGAAGTAATAGATGATGCATATGTAACACTACTTTGAATCTGAGTTTTGTATGTGTGTTTTAATAATTAATTGCTAATAAAACTCCTCTCCCAGGATTTAGTGTTTTATCTTTAAGAAAAGGTGGATGGACACAGAGACAGATAATATGTTTGAGAGGAAAAAATAACGTTGTCATGGAAGGCCACCTGCCTGCTGTACAATATAATGAAGAGTTAAAGACGTCATGTGTCTGTCATACATGATTCATTTGGCCTTGGCTGACATATTTATGTCCCTGTTCTTTATTTTAAAAGTTCCTACATTGTCCCTAACATATTCCTTAACACAAAATGAAAAATACTCTGCCTGTATGAGGACATATAAACTCAAAAAAATGCTAAATGCTCCATAAATCTTTTGCACATTTTGAATCAAATGCAGAGTGAGCATTTCATTATATTAAAAAGAGAGAACAATGATAAACTAGGGAAAAATATTTTCACCAAATATAATCATTGAAAGGCTAATAATTATAATAAAAGGAATTCATACAAATTTATAAGAAAAAATAACAATAGCTCAATTGATAAATGGACAACACAAATAACTAAAAAATAAAATACCAAAGTAAACAAGTATATAAAAAATGTTTATGGTACTCCAAATGTTGGTGACATTATAAATTAGTGCAACATTTTCAAGGCAATATAATAATAAATACAAGGAATGTAAACAAATGTCCATAACTTTTAACACATTTATCCTAATCATTAGAGTTTGCCTTAAGGAAATAATAAAAAAGAAAGGAAAATATATATATATATACCAGTTTATTAATCATGTGTCACTACAATATTAAAAATTTAAATAAGCTGGAAATCCAATAGAACTTAGTAACTTATGCTATATTATGCAACCAATTATTGTAAGGACAGCATTACTGGGTAATTTAAATGAAAATCAGGATAAAATTTCACTTACTGTAATTACAGTTATTTAAATTCTTATGTTTCAAAAAAAGAGCATAAGAAAACATGGAAAAACAGCCATCTTTGATAGTTTAGGGAATTATGAATTTTGCTTTTTTTGAAAAATATACTTTATAAATATCTTCCAAAATTGTCATTACATAGTCAGCAATGTTTTAAAAATCAAGTAGGAAGCCATTTCCTTTCTCAGTAACTGTCCCCCCACCCCCCATGCTTGCCCCAGGAATGAAACCTAATTCTGGTATCTCCGTCTTGGACCTCATCTGAGGAGCCAGGTACCAGAGGTCCCAGGGAGACATATTATGGGGGTTCCACAGAGCCAGAGAGCTCTAGTGACTGTCAGGTGGGTATGATAAAATTGGCACTTTTGATCCAGGTTTCCCAAACATTTGCAAAGAATGCCAAGTTCTTTTGAATAAGGCAATGAGTTTGAGAATAATCTCCCTTGGTTGGTAACAGAAAAAAAAAAAAAAAGAGGAAAGGTAAACTTCAAAATGGGAAGGGTAAGAGAAAAAGCAATCCAAAACTCCAACAATTAAACAAGCAGCTCTGAACTGTCAGTTTAGACCCAGGAAAGAAAAATCTAAAGGTCAGGATAGTTTGTTCCCCCAAAGAAACTTCATGCACTGCCACAAGCAGAAAGGCTACAGGGCACTGTTATCATACAGAATAAATCAGAAACATGGAAAATTGGCTCCATGTAATATCATGAGAACCAATACTCTGAGTCTCCCTTTCCTGAAATTTTCTTTTTAAGTCACCGTTTGGCTCCTATCACCCCTGTACCTGCTCTTCAACTTCCAAAGCACCAAATAATTAATTACTGCTTTCCTTACCCACCCCATTCAAACTCTGCTCAGACAAGGATCTAACTGGCTTATTCAGAGTAAGGGAAATAATTGATGAACCCATCTTCCATGTGACTGTCCAAGCTCCACTCCAAGATATCCTGTTAACGAGGCCATTCCCCATCCCTCCACTTCAGAGTGGGCATGGGACTCAGGCTGACCCAGTATTCCCTGAACACAAAGCCTGTGGGCACATGTGGCCACATGTGTGCACATGTGGGTACATGACCAAGGAAGGTGGCCAGTTCTTTGCTTCTTTGCTCTTCCTGCCCCTGCTTTACCCTTTATCACAAGGAACTGAGCCCCACAGTTTCCAGGCTCAGCTGGCCTTCACTGAAAGGAGGTTGCAGGGCAGGAGAAAGGGGATGTCAATGGCCAATATTCAGCCATGTAATCCAATTTGAGGATGGAGCCAAACACAGAAGGACAAAGACCCAGGATACAGGGAGAGATAAAGAATCCTAACATATTCTTTGAATTCCTCGGTTTTGAATTCTAGACCTAAAGTTGGCTCCATGTAATATCATGAGAACCAATTTTTATTATCATATATCTTATGTATTATCATATATTATCATATTAGTATTATTATCCTATATTTTATGTCCTAAACCAGGACACTTGAGAGTAAAAGGGGCTGCTAGTAATACATAAGTCAGGATAACAGGTACAAATTAGAACTCGTTCCGGCAAACCAGAACACATAGTTACCCTACCTAAAATCAACTCAGCCTTTGGACTTTATAATTAATTGAGCCATTAAAATCTCTTTGACCCTTAACCTACTTTGAGTTGGTCTCTATCACTAAACTTCTTGACCACTGCACGAGGCAAAGGTTTAAATCAATAAGAATTATTTCCTAAGTGGTAGAATTTCAGGGTAGGCAGACAAGCATCAACGTCTGCTTTCTTATCCCCCACAATATGTATGTAAAGTTTGCACATTTTGGTATAGCCATTCCAGGAAAATTATAGGGAATTTTGGTGGCTGTACTCCCAAGAAGACTGAAAAAGTGCAAAGAAAACTAAAATCACCAAGGGAACACATATACACTCCACTCTCAGGCTAAAGGAGGCTCTTTGGTGATCTTTCTTTTCACTTTAAAGAGTCTCAATGTCACTTCATCAATAAAAGGAGAGATGTATCAAGAACCAGAAGGAAATATACAGAGGCTTCAGTAACCAGCTCATCTTTTTGTGTCTCACTGCCCATTTCTTATACAGCTAAATCCTCCGGTCACCAAAACATGCTCTTTTTTTGAACAGGAAAAAAAAAAAAAAAAAATCCCTTTCCAGAGGTTAAACTGGTGCAAAATCCTGAAGTAGAAATAAAAGTATAAGCACATACAAATTAAAATATTTACAGATCAAAAGTATTATTATACATAAGCAATTCCCTGCAGGGTTCATTAGGAGCCATTTTGTTCTGGAAGATACATTTTTCTCCTCATGTTCTTTTTAGTAAATTGTAAAAGAATTTGTTTTACCAAAGTTTGTCACATTTATGATATAAGTAACAATGATATTTTGAGTTATCTTGAATGCTGGGTGGAATTCTTCATTCAGGTGAGAATCTATTGAATCATAGAAAAACTATCAAATCCATTACCCCTGATGATAATAAACAACAGGTTTTACCTGATTCTTAGTCTTGAGCAAAATATAGTGAGGGAGACTTTCTGGGAGGACTGAGTAATAGAGGAAAGAAACAGAATAAGCAAAACTTAACGTGAGTTGTACAAAAAGAGGATTACAAAAGGTAATGGTTTCACTGTCTAGACGCTTGAGTCTGCTTGGTCACTTTCAGAGAATGTCGTCTCTTCTACAATTACAGATGGCTCCAGCAGCCTGAAGCGTTCACTTAGGGCTGGAAACGACCTGAGCATGTTATACATCCTTACACGCAGCCTCAGGCAAGCCACTGAGGGCGGCAACCTCACTCTCCCCTTGGACTGCGACAGCGACTTCAACACTTTGGAAGCTTCTCTCTGGAAGATTTTTGTTTTGACAGTGTAGAGGATAAAAATTTGTAATCCCTGGCAGATAGAATAAAAGTTTAATGTTAGATCAGCATTGAGATACAGAATCAGGGAAGAGATTTATTTTACTTTGCCACCCACCCTTCTCATCATGCACAACAACTCCCCAACTCGAGTTTACATCTGCAGCAGCTGAGCACTTTGTTGTCTCAGAGGGCTGAGGTGACGTTCTTCTACTATGGAAAGTGCTACATGTAAGCAGTAGAGTTTGAAGACCTGAATTCAGATCCCAGTTCACCACATGTTGGCTGTATCACCGAGAGGCGCTCTCTCTTCCTGACACCAACTGGGTGTCCCTACAATTCAACTGAATTCTGACACTAACAACCCGAGAGTTAGTGTCAGATTCCACAGGTTAAGTCTCAGTCCTATGACTGCCTTCACTTCAGATGCTAGTCAGAAATATTGGGTCCCCACATTACCCATACTTCTGTTTGACTTGACAATAAAGTCAGGAGTTCCCACAACCCACCTCCCTGCTTCAGGTTTGGTAATTTGCTAGAACTACTAACAGAACTCAGAAAAGATCTTTACCTACTGTTACCTGTTTATTATAGAGGATACAACTCAGGGACTGCCAAATGGAAGAGATCCTGGAACAACATATGGAGGAAGGTGCACCACCTTCCTGGCTCTTCAATATGTTCACCAACCTGGAAGCTCTCCAAACCCCTTCATTTAGGGGTTTTTACGGAGGTTCCATTATATGGGTTTGGTAATTATATCATTAGCCATTGGTGACTGACTCAATCTCTTGCCCCTCTCCCCTTCCTTTCTTCAGTTTCTGAAAGAGGTAAATGCACTGTGGGTCACTTAATTCTTCTTCCAGTTCTAACATTCTCTGATTGTACAGTTCTTGGCATTTTAGTAACATAACTAAAAATCTCATGCATTTAAGAAAAAAAAATTGTAAGCACTTCTATTCATTGCTTTTCTGTCCTTTTGATTCTGATACAAAGATCAGATGTGCATGAGAAATTAATCCACAAAAGACTGAATATATTTTCTGTACACTTTTAAAATGAAAACTGCCCCTTAATGAAGTCCTATTGGTATCAGACACTGCTTTTCATTTAATCCTCATCATTTGATCCTAACACCAACCCTATAATAAGCCTTACTATCCCCATGTTACAAATGAGAAAACTATAGCTCAGATAAATTAAGTAACTTGCCTAAGATTACCCAACCAGTAATCACTGGAGTCTGGAGTTGGACTCAACTCCATTTGGTTCCAAAACTCTTCTAGCCAACATCCTACTCTGCCTCTTGCTTGAACTGCAATAGAAGGATATTATAAAGTATATGACAGCATCCAAGAGTCCCCCATTAATTTCTTATTAACATCCTTTGTTGGAAATAACAGACTAAATGACATCTGTAGTTGAGTAACAGTATTGTGCCAATGTTCACTTCTTGATTTTGATGATTTACAAGGGTTATAGAAGATACTATCATTAGGGGTATGCCTCGGTGGCTCAGACGGTTAAGCAGTTGCCTTTGGCTTAGGTCATGATCCCAGGGTCCAAGGATCGAGTCCCCATCAGGCTCCTTGCTCAGTGGGGAGCCTGCTTCTCCCTCTCCCTCTGCCTGCTGCTCCCCCTGCTTGTGCTCGCTCTCTTTCTCTCTCAAATAAATAAATAAAATCTTTAAAAATAAATAAATAAATAAAATTTTTCAAAAAAGATATTATCATTGGGAGAGCTGGGAAAAGACTACCTGGGAACTCTATACTATTTTTGCAACTTCTTGTTTTAAACTATTTAGAAATAAAAAGTTACTTTAAAAAATCCATGATATCTCCAGATTAGCATCTCTAGGGCCCAAGCCTTATAAGGATCTATTTCTAGAATCATATCCTATGAATACTGTTGTAGGATACTCTGGTGCTCTGGTAAGATCACCCAAAGACCCTGAGACTTTAACTAATAAAATCAATACATTTTGGCAAGAGACAGACCAGTTCTCTGACCAAAAACAGGAAGATTAACTTGATCATTATTCAACAGGTGGTATTTACTCCTCTGATGAAGGCCTTGATGACACAAGGAAGGATGCATAGGGACATAGGTTTCGGAAGGGCAAAACTGGTCACTGGCCATCCTGATGTTCAAAGGAGAGAGATTTATTTTGAGGACATGAGAAATCTGGTCCTCTTTGTGGAGTACACTCTTTCATATTTAATTCTATGGCAAAGACAGACTGGATAAAATCTCCGGTTGTGCGACTATTAGGAAAAGACCTAGACCATGGAGAATTCATAAAGACACCATCCTGTGAAACTGTGTACTTCTATACTCCCTAAAATCCCAAAGATGTTATTGAAAAACACAAAATGTATGGATCAAACTAATTCTCACTAGTACAAATATCAAATTTTGCTTTTTAAGTAATAGCTATAGCATTTAGTAAATGTCTGTTAGAATTATAGCATTCTAAATCTAGAAGGAGCCTTATGTGTAAACTAGTCACTTTAGTGTACATAAAAATCAAATCCTTGTTTAAAGTGAAGATTTCTAGCTCTTACCACATAGATTCTGACTGAGTAGGAAAGGGATGAAGCCCAGGAATAAGCATTTTAAAATACTATGTAAATTCTCACATAGGCAATAATAGTCAGACCCACTTTGAAAAACACAGCACCAATTTTAACACCCCCCCTCCATTTTATAATTTACATACCTCACTCAGAGAGATTGTATGACTTTTCTAAAATCATATGATCATTAATGGTAAAGCTGGAAGACAGCCTAAATCTCCTTTTAGCCCAGTGCTCTTGCCATATGGCCACCCTCAATTTTACCAGATAGTATTAACATTTTGTAATGAGCCTCTATTTTATAATGTGCCCCTCATATGCATAGAGGAGAGAGTATCCTTGATTATACCTCCTCCAGGTACTTTTCCATATTCCTCATCACTCTAGGCAACAAGCCCATGGGTCAACTGGCAATCCAGACTAAGATTATCCTATCTATTTCCCTTCTGGGGAATTTCAGTTGGGTGTTAACAACAGTGAAAAACTGCCTTATATTCATTTAAATTTAGTGGCAGGCACATATCCATTGCTTGAGGCAGTAATTCTCAAAAGACACTGGAGAGGGCTACCAGGAATAGAGGATGAGGTGCTTACAAACATTAAATGTGGTAGTTACAATTTATTTATTTTTTTTTATAAACTATTTCTTTCTTTTTTTTTTTTAATTTTATTTATTTATTTGAGAGAGAGAGAGCATGAGAGGGGGTTGGGTCAGAGGGAGAAGCAGACTCCCTGCTCAGCAGGGAGCCTGATGCGGGACTCGATCCCGGGACTCCAGGATCATGACCTGAGCCAAAGGCAGTCGCTTAACCAACTGAGCCACCCAGGCACCCTGGTAGTTACAATTTAAACAGCCAAGCAGCTCCCCGTGCTGCACTATACAGACTCCTCGACATTTGTGGTCCAGTCAAATTCATCTAATGCTCTTTCCAATAGTTCCCATTTTGTATCAAAGACTTGTCTCCTCAGTGATATTTGACCAGAGCCAAAAACAACCAACATGATACCAACTTCCCCCAGTGGTTACTACTCCCAGTGACAACAAGACAATCATCAAACACTGCAGTTGCTTCACAAAATATTAGACAAGTATAGCCCATCCTGATATCAAACATCCTGATTATCTACAATGAAAGATACACATGAGCATGTTTCTTGCATGAGAAAACTGGAAATCTAGTTAAGGAGATGAGACTTGAATGTATAAAAAGTTAATTTTTGAGTACAAGAAGAAAAGGGACAAATGAACTTAGAAAACTACAATAATTCTACTTAATTTGATAAATTATATTTATTAATTTAATTCATAGTAAAATTAATAAAGCTAGAAGAGTTTAAAGCCTCTAGTAAACTCACTTCAAGAGTTTAAAGCCTCTAAGTAAATAATCTATGTGGATTATACCAATGTCAGTTTCCTAGGTTTGACAATGTATTATAGTTACATAAGATGTTATCATTGAACTAGCTGGGTGAAGGGTACATAAGAACTCTCTGTACTATTTTTGTAACTTCCTAGGAGTCCAAAACTATTTTTTTTTTTAATTTTAAGGAATTGCATAAGAATGGGAATAAAAAAGAAAAGAAGAATTTTGACCTTTTTGCACAACATAAAATCTTAGTAAGTCTATAGAATTTCAATTAAAAAAAAGATTACTGCCAAGAATTAAATGCCAAGCTAATTGGTGTTTCATGTGTCATGATACCTAAAGAAAAATTACCAGGTAGGAAAGTCCTCATTCATATTTATCAGCTACCTATTAAACAATTACTCAAAAATATACTAATGAGAGATTCATTAAGATTAAAAAGTCAAAATAACAGGACATTTCAAGATAAAAGAACTAGCAAAAGGCATTGAGACTATTTAAGCATAAGAAATTGTAGGCATGTCAACTATACTTCAATAAAAAGAATTTTTTAAAGAAAAGAAAATTCAATTGAGATAATTATCAAATATAATCCAAGTATTATAAATATCTCTTGAAAGAAAATAACGTAGACACTCTATTTAACAACAATAATTGCAGAGTAAATTTTAAGTTGTACCAATAAACCAAGAGACCAGAAGCAGCTACACTGTGTTAATGTTTTTACCTCAAAAAGGGAGGAGTCAATATATATTGTTTTATTCTGGAAATTGAAAATTGTATCTTACAAAGTTGTAGTAATGTTTAATAAACAAAGATAATAATTAACAGAATGAAAATGTCCCAATAATTAAAGAAGGCTAAGTAAAAGAATGCATAATTTTTGAGCACAATATATATAAAACTTAGGAAGAAATGGATTGATGTGAAAAAAGAATAAGATGACAGAATAAGATCAAACATATTAGTTTTGACAGCTAACATTCAGCTAAATAGCTAAAAGGTTAACTTTTTTAATAAAATGGAAAAACAATGAGAAAATGATTTAAAAAAACACAAATCTAGGGGCACCTGGGTGGCTCAGATGGTTAAGCATCTGCCTTCAGCTCAGGTCATGATCTCCAGGCCCTGGGATGGAGCCCCATGTTGGGCTCTCAGCTCAGCAGGGAGTCTGCTTCTTCCCCTTCCTCTGCCTCTCCCCCTGCTCGTGCTCTCTCTGTCTCTGTCTCTGTCTCTCTCTCAAATAAATAAATAAAATCTTAAAAATAATAATAAAAATTAAAAAACACAAATCTAAATATATGGGATCTAAAATGAGGTAAGTCAAAATCAAAGTGCCACAGAAAGCTTAAAGATAAAAAAAAAACTGTATAAATAGATAAGATAAAAGAAAAACAAATTAGAAGTTGCTACATTAATATATGGACAATCAGATTTAAGACAGAATGGAACTGAGAGTGACTTGTTATAATGATGAAAGATACAATGTACCAGAAATATGCAATATCCATAAATTTCTAGGAACATGATAATACAGCATTAAATTGTGTAGAGACAAACAGTAAGACTCCATATACAGAGGGAAAAGTCTTTGTAGTATTTTTCATCAGAGTAAAAGCCATTGTTCACTATGAGAGGAGGCACAGAGTTAAGCACAGAGAGAAATTCCAATTTCAAGATAAGTCTTTCAATAATGCATATTTGTTTTATCTTAGAGGTTGACATTCTCCATGCATATACACAAAAATCCTCTAAGGTCAAACAGAATTATCTTCATTTTTAAGCTAACATTTTTGTTCATTCATGTCACTATTTTTGCCATGATAAAAATTAGAAGGTGACTATAATCCTTAGTCTAAATGTTCTGCTTCTTAGAGTAGATGCCCCCAATATATTAATAGAATGGGTTACAAAAAAGAAAAAAAATATAAGTCTTCATTGCCAATTTTAAAACAAAATATGAATGGAATATTTTTTAAAGATTTATAATTAAATATCTTGAGATAAGACTCAAGGAATAAAAGCACCTTCAGTCTTATGTATAATTACGTTATAAAAACGACTTCATAAGGTTCTGCTCTTCAAACCAACACTCTTGCAGATAGCAACTATAAACTCTGGACCAAATAGTTTTTAAAAACCTACCTGAAGATACTGAATGACAACTAAAAGCAGTCTGAAACTGGAAGGAGAATCTACAGTTGGGAAAAAGGGAACTGTAACTGGGTAGGATTCCTGTTTTGTTTTTTTAATATCTTTTAGCCAGAAGGCACAGTCTGATCAGCCCACACAGGGTGACTAAACCTGGAGTTTAAATAGGCAGTCTTACTAGGTTGAAGAACTGGAAGACAGGGTTTAGGGCAACTACAGAATCTGAAAAATAAGGAAGAATATTCAGACTATCCAGGAGGAAACAGAGACCGGGAGGTCCAGATTCTGTTTATAAATTCTGCCCAAATCTCTAATTGACCTCTGAACTATAAATGCATGGAGTGAACTCTAAGAAGCCCGTCTGAAGCTAAAAAGACTAAACAGAGGTTTCCAATGTTGTCCTCCCTAGAGGAGATAGTTTTCAGTTTTAGTCCAGCTAAGTTAATTATATGCTAACTCTATTCTTGGTAGGAATAATACAGAATGAAGAGTTGCTACCTGTATTATCTACAATGTCCAGGAGACAACCAAAATTACTAGAGTTAGCAGACAAGGATTTTAAAGTGTTTCTATGATATGCGTAGGGTGGTAAAAGAAAATGTACTCATAATGAACCCGAAATTAGGAAATATCAGCAAAATAAAATCTCTGAAAAATGATAAGAAAAAAACTCTGAAACTAAAAAAGTACAATATCTGAAATAAAAATCACTAGAGGGTAAACAGCAAACTGGAAATGATTAAAGGTAAAATCAATGTCCTTGAAGATGGATCGCTAAGATGAATGTGATGAAAAGCAAGAAGAAGGAATGAGAAAGAATCTGATGAATAGCAAGAAGAAGGAATGAGAAAGAATAAACAGCTCAGGGACCTATGGAACAATATCAAATGGTCGAACCTACATATAATTAAATCCCCCCAAAAAAGAAAGGTAAAAGAACAGTATAGAAAAACTATTTGAAAAAAACAAAGATAAAAAATTCCTCAAATTTGGTGAAAGATATAAATAAACAGATTCTGGGAGCTCAGTAATCCCAAGGTGAAAAAATGCAAAAAAAATAATATCTGGGCATATCTTGGTGAAAATGCTAAAAATCAAAGATAAAGAGAAGTTCCTGAAAGCAACCAAAGGAAATAATACAGTACATACGGGGGGCGGGGGAAGAATATGAAACACTGAGGATGTCTCATTAGAAACTGGAGCAAGTTTGTGAAATGACTTCTTCATAGTACTAAAAGGGGAAAAAATCTATCAACCCATTATTCTATATTCAAGGATGATATTCTTCAAAAATGAAAGTAAACAGGAATAAAGAACTGGAATGGCAACAGAAAACAAATAGTAAAATGGTAGATATAAATTCACCCCTATTAATAATTACATCAGCTCTAAATGGACTAAACACTAATTAAAAGACGGAGATTGTCAGAATGAATAAAAGGTCTTACCCTTTTATTTGCTATGTACAAGATACATACTTTAAATGTATGTATCTACTTGTTACATACAAGATACATACTTTAAATGTAAAAGCACAGATAGGTTGAAAGTGAATGGATTAAAAAATATATACCATTCAACCAATATACACAAGAAGGATGGAGATCAGATAAAATAGACTTCATGACAAAGAGTACTATAAAAGTTAAAGAGGGACATTTCCAAAGGATAAATAGTTAATTTACTCAGAAGATATCACAATCATAAATGTATATGCATCGAATAGCAGAACTTCAAAACGTGTGAAGCAAAAATTGACGGAATTATAGGGAAAATAAACAAACTCACAATCACAGTTGGAGATCTTAATACTCCTCTTTCAGCAATGGAGAGAACCAGACAAAAATATTGGTAAGGATAGAAATTTTAAAAAGGAAAAGAAAGACAAAATTCAGCCAACCCCACTGTGGTCTAAGCTCCAATAGTAACTGTAACATTGTCCATATCAACCATATCAACCATATGAACCCTGGTGAGGAGCTGCCGTGAACCTATTACATGGGAGAAAAGGAATCAGGGGGTGTTTGCCAAGCCAGTTGCTGGACACAATCTCTTCTGCTAAGAGAAGAGGGATTAATGTGGTCTAACCTTACTGCAATTATATTCTATGAACTGTGCCCAGGAAAGGACATAGTGGGTAAGTCATAAAGAGCTTTCTTCCCGGGCGCCTGGGTGGCTCAGTTGGTTAGGCGACTGCCTTCGGCTCAGGTCATGATCCTGGAGTCCCAGGATCGAGTCCCACATCAGGCTCCCTGCTCAGCGGGGAGTCTGCTTCTCCCTCTGACCCTCTTCCCTCTCGTGCTCTCTATCTCTCATTCTCTCTCTCTCAAATAAATAAATAAAATCTTAAAAAAAAAAAAAAGAGCTTTCTTCCCTCTTCCTTCAAAATGTATTGAAAATAGAGTCTCCTAAAGGTAACTAAGCAATGACTTTCAAGGTCACCTTTAGTTTAGTCCAGAGTGATATCATCCCCACCACTGCATGATCTGCTACCTTCAGAGTAATCCACACCATACCTGAGTAGTGTTAAAAAGGCAGAACATGTAGTTGAAGATAAGCCTGATGTCATCATTACCAATTAGCATAAAGTATGCCAGAATCCAGGTAACTCCAAAAACAACTGTGATAGATAATGTACTAAGAATCTTCTTTAGGAATGAAACCTTTTTTGTGCTAGGTAAGAGAAAGCAAGAAAGAAAACATGATTTTATTTAATACCATTTTACTTATTAATATCATTGTTACCCTCTAATTGAGAATACATATTCAGGTGCCCACATATACTATTTAACAATATTATGCATTAGGTAGAAAACCATGTTAGACCTATATCTGGGTAAAATCTGATTTAGCAAGCTTCATTAAGGAATACAGTGAAACTTGCCTAAAAGCTTAGGAATAAACAGTCCTTTATATACTACTGCAGGCAAGTACCACACACACACACACACAAATCAATGTTTTCTTTGGAAAGGAATTTTATCTTGGTGATTATTTTGTGGATCAGCCAGTGAGAAATTCCTTTTCTGGGCATCTGGGACCTTCCCACAATGTAGGGTGATATGGGAATGAAAGGTCATTAAAATGTAAAAATGAAGGAATCTGAACTCAGCCATATGACTTACCAGTGGGATGTTAGCAATTATTCCATAAGCAGAAGCTTGAAAGCATTTTGCTGACCTTTTTTTATTGTTCTTTGGAACCCTGACACCACTATATTGAGAAGCCTGGACTGGCCTAATTGATGATAAGAGACTACACAGAACAGAGATTAGCTTTCCCAACTGAGCAGCTCCGACTCAAAACCAACCACCCATCCACCACCAGGCACAGAAATAAGTCATCTCAGGTCATCCATCCGTTTTCAAGAAGACCAGAACAAGTACCTGACCAACATTCAAACTTATGACAAATAATAAATATTTGTCACTCTAAGCCAATAAGTTCTGGGGTGGTTTGTTATGCTGCAAAAGCTAACTGATACATGAAAGATAATTTGTTAAACAATTAAATTGTAACCTGCATTTCACTGTGACTAAGCCAATTTAAGAACCATGAGTTGTCAGCCAAAATCTAGAAATACAAATTTGTTGCTGTCTGTGGCCAAAATGATACTGTTTTGTATAAAGGAAATATAACCTACTCTGCAATTAGGCTAAGAAAATTTTACCAAGATGTTTCTGCATTGCTATTAAAACAAAGGTTTGAATGATTATCAATGATAGTCTTTTCCCCCACAGTTCCCCACAATATGGATTATCATTCATATAGGAAAGATGATACTTACTCTTGATCAGTAAAGCACATATTAAAGATGGTATTCCCACTAATGACGGTTGTTTTCACCCGTCTGTTCATACTAAATGGATCCATTTGGTGACCAACAAAGCTCACAAATGTGCTTATAATAAATATACTGGGGATAAACACAGTCTTGTAAAATTAAACCTGGATTCATGGCCTCATTAGCACTGTTTTCTAACCAATTGTGATGTTGGAGGTGTGGTTAAGGAGAGTGTATATCTGCTTAATAGTTTCTATTCTTTACCTCTCCAACTGAAAGCTTTTTTGTTTACAGGGACAACAATGAAAATGCTTATTGAGGTAGGAAGGTTCCAGTAAGGAGAGAAGCGGCACACATGGGAACTGATCAACCAGAGCGCACATGGCCGCCTGCAGGAAATGGGGACGCAATGTTGACAGATGTTCCAGTTTTTTCAAGAGAAAATATAATTTTTAAGTGAAATCTCCCAATTTTTATATGTTTTAAACTAATTTTAAAAACTTAAAGCCACTATCAGATTCAAGAAACACATGTAAAATATAGTCTGCAGCTACTAGTTTGTAAAATGAAATACAGTTACTAGCATCTCCTCACAATCTTCTCATTTCTTTAATGATTCAAATCTGATTTCTTGAATATTTGCGGTTGGGAGAGAAATTTTCTTTTTTTGAAGTCTTTGTGTTTAGTTTTTAGTTGGGCTCATACAGCATGAAAGTATGTTATATAATGCAGTTCCATATTGTTGGGAGATGAGGAGAAGATTTACTTTCTGAGACAAAGTTTAAAAGAAAATCTGCCCTGCAAACCGCATACCCTTGCCACTGTCCCAGAAGTCTGAAAACTCTGTGGATGTATTGCGGAGCTGTATTATGTACTACATGAGTCATGCCTGGAAGCACCCCACTAATGGGTAATCTTACCTTGTCAGATTCTGGTTAGTATTCCATATCACTTTGACTATAATGATAATAAATATAACAATATTGTTGATGAGGATAATGGTGATAGGTATCATGAATGACCACAACAATGGACTTGTTATATGACCATTTTTTTCTGAAACTGCCAGCCAGCAGCTATGGGGAGAAAAAAAAATGATTTTAGTACATTAAAAATGTTATACATACTGGTTCTCTATGCTATTAACATTATTGACATTCACTTTACTGAGACAATTGCTAAAAGCCAATATCCCGTGGCATATTTGAAATGACTTTCAAGAATTCAACCACTAGGAAAAAAAATGAAAAACATTAGTTCTGCCATATTTCTTGATGTATGGGCTAGTGGAAAGGAAACAGCTTTTAAATCAGGCAGTCCCAAATTAAAAAGTCACTCTATCACTTACTAGGTGTCTGACTTTAGGCAAGTTATTCTTTTAGTTCATTTTTGAACATGGAGCACATCTAGGTGGGTCAAAATTTTAAAGGTACAAGTCATCATGGAGAGACAACTGTTCCTACAATTATCCGTCCTACAACTATCCTTAGTCACCTAGGTTAGTCTCCAGTGCTAATCAATGTTTCTTGTGTATTCTTCCAGATTTAGGTTATGCATATGTCAGCAAATATAGTTTTTTTCTGATTTTTAAACAAATAATAACATATGGTACCTCTATAACTTCCTTAACAACATATCCTGGAGATCACTCCAGGTGAGATTATAAAGACTGTCATTTTTTTATAGCTGCATACTACTCCATTATTTTGTAATAGAGTTATTTACATAGTCACTTATTAATGGACATTCTAAAAGTTTGATGTTTAAAATATTTTATTTTTTTAAAATATTTTAATAGTTATTTAACCTCACTGCATCTGTTTTGAGGTTTTTGTTGTTGTTACTGTTGCAAATGGTTTGGTGGGTTTTTTTTTTTCCTCATTTGTGAGGTATAGTAATCACTTCCTGGCATTGTGGCAAGAATGAATTCATTTATTTAATAAGTATTTATGGGATACATGCTATGTAATATCTAGTTCTAGGTATCAGATATTAGCAGTGAACAACAAAAAAGCCCCAAAATTTCTTCTTTGTGACATGATACTATATATATAGAAAAGACCTCCATACTGTTGTCCACAGTGATTGCTCCAATTTGCATTCCCGCCAACAATGCAAGAGGGTTCCTTCTTCTCTGCATCCTTGCCAACATTTGTTGTTTCTTGTGCTTTTGGTTTTAGCTATTCTGACAGGTGTGAGGCCATATCTCATTGCAGTTTTGATCTGTATTTCCCTGATGATGAGTGATGGTGAGCATCTTTTCAAGTGTCTATTCACCATCTGGATGTCTTCTTTGGAAAAATGTCTATTCATGTCTTCTGCCCATTATTTAATTGGATTATTTGTCTATCTTGAGTTTTGGAAGTATTACTCTTGCTAGATGCAGGGATAATAGAAGAGCACATGCAAAAGTAGGAAATCAGCTAGGAGTCTATTACAATAACCTGGTGGCTTGGACGAGAAGAGGAGATGTTAGGAGATAGTCTGATTCCAGATATATATAAAAGTAAAGCAATGAATTTATTTCTAGGTTGGATGAGAGATGTAGGAGGATTAAGGTTGATTCCAAATTCTTTGGCCTGAGTACCTAGAAGGACAGAATTACCATTAATTGAGATGGGGAAGATAAGAAGAGCAGGTTTGGGAGGGAAGACCACTAGATGTCCCATTAGACACCCAAGTGCCGGTATCAGGTGGGCATTTGGGTATTAACAAAATGATGTGAGAAGCCCTGGCATATATTTGGCATTGAATTAATGTATGTTTTCTTTCTCCTGCAGGTAAAGCACCATTATTATACATGTCAAAGGATTTCTAAATTGTCTTGCATTGGAATGTTGTTATAATTTAAATTATTAGAAATCATATTTCTAATCTCAATGACCTAGAAGGAAATTGGGATAATGTTCAAGTCTCTGTAATGGAATAAAAAGTAAAAAGTAGTGCCTACAATCCATTGACAGAATTAAGAATTCTAATTAACAAACCTAAGAATAGGTCTATCCTTAAATAAAATGGTGAGAGCAAGCGAGTTTATCTTTAGGACCTCTGGCTCTCCTTTCATCTGTAACAGGAGGACAACCCTCCTGTCATTCTCCATTCTGCCATCTCCTGCACAGAAGAAATAACAGGGCACTTGGCTGAGAATTTAATGAAGTCCTCCTGAGAAGTACTTTCAAATCTCCAGAAGCTTCTCCTATTATCATCGCCTCGTGTCTTCCCTAACATTTAACAGTGGACTCAGGAAAGAATCTGCTCTCAATTCTTCATAGCTCAGTGTGAATATATTTAAGATGGTCGACTTCTTTCTCCTGAAGGCTTTTACAGGAGCACATCTAGCCCTGTCCCAAGGTTAGGGTAGGAAATCAGTGATGCAATTTGAAGTGAATTGCCTCTCCTGTGAGATAGTTGCATCTTACCCCTGATCTGTAATTGTAGAATTAAATTTTTTAAGTTCATTAAAAGATATTTAACCCTAATTAAACAGAAAAAAATAGTACCTGGAGTATTTGGCTTCTAAAATCAAGCCAGGCAGGGCGCCTGGGTGGCTCAGTTGGTTAAGCGACTGCCTTCGGCTCAGGTCATGATCCTGGAGTCCCAGGATGGAGTCCCGCATCGGGCTCCCTGCTCAGCAGGGAGTCTGCTTCTCCCTCTGACCCTCCCCCCTCTCATGTGCTCTCTCTCTCTCTCTCATTCTCTCTCTCAAATAAATAAATAAAATCTTTAAAAAAAATAAATAAAAAATAAATAAAATAAAATAAAATCAAGCCAGGCAGATAGCCTTCTATTCTACAGTTGGGCATTGTCAGCCTTGGACATAGGTATGCACCCTTCCCTTGGCTGTATTGGTACATTTCCAAGAGTTTTGTTTTGTTTTGTTTTAGTTGCTTTTGGACTCAAGGTGGAATGTGGGGGTGAGAATGGTTGAATTATAAAAGGAGAGGGCAGGATAAATTATAGAGCAGTTGCCATTTGGTAGCAGAAATACACGGAAAGGGGCACCTGGGTGGCTCAGTTGGTTAAGCACTGCCTTCGGCTCAGGTGATGATCCCAGGGTCCTGGGATCGAGTCCTACATCAGGCTCCTTGCTCAGCTGGGAACCTGCTTTTCCCCTCTGACTGCCCCTCCCCCAGCTTGTGCACGCTCTCTCTCTCTCTCTGACAAGTAAATAAATAAAATCGTTTAAAAAAGAGAGAAATACACACAAAGAGTTCAGCCCAGATTTCTTTTTTTTAAATTATTTATTTATTTATTTGAGAGAGAAGGAGAGAGAAAGAGAGAGCAGGGGGAAGGAGAAGAGGGAAAGGGAGAAACAGACTCCTCGCTGAGCAGGGAGCCCGATGTGGGGCTCGATCCCAGGACTCTGAGATGATGACCTGAGCCAAAGGCAGATGCTTAACCCACTGAGCCACCCAGGTGCCCCTCGGCTCAAAATTCTTTTCTCCCAGCTCACAGAAAAAACAAACACCACAGTCAGGTATTTCCATTAGTAACAACTATGCATACTATAATCTCAGGGAGAACTTTTTATGTGTGATAAGTCATCATAAAATATTCATTCTAATCATATCAATATAAAACTGGTCATAAACACAGACAATGCTCTTCAAATATAAAACATCTTCCTACTTTCTTGACCTCTCACCTCAGAGTGGGTATTACTGTCATTGTTATTCCTGTTTCCTAGATAAGAAAACTAAGATAAAGGGTTACTAAGGAGCACACATATTGTGTCCTATGATTTTTAGGCTTAATAAAAGGAGACAAATCTAACAAAGTTTAGATTATAAATTTAGAAGGTAATAACTTGATTTACAAAAGGATTTATTATAGGCAACTTTCATGTCACTATATTTAAAATATAATGTGTTGTTTGAGAATTTGAAATACCCACTTATACTTATAAAGTGAAATGCATATATATGGTGACACTTGGACTCAAGATCACTGAACAGTTACACTCTTATATCAAATAAATGGACATTTAAAAAAATATATAAACTCACATTTCTTCTTGTCGGTAGACTAACTCCCATTGTGAATCATTCTGAGAAAAAATAATTCCCACTGTCACAACCACCACTACAGCCGGGACTCCTGTGGTAAAAGAGAGGCATTGAATTAATAATTTACTCAAGACTGGAATTAATTATAACAGAACATGAATGAATTATATGTCTGACCCTTTTCAAGACTGTACTGTTCTTCTACTGTAGACAATGTACCAAACGATCTACAGATGTGAGTCAATGGAAGACATCATTTTTTGGTAACGGCTTGCCTCTTTCTTTTATTGTTGGCTCTACCTACTAATCTTACACATTTCTGATTTCTTTGTAACTCTCACCACAATTTCCATTCTTAAAAGGCCTAATTCCTCTTTCCCTTGAATCAATTTAAATTTAGATATCACTCACACAATTCTTTGCTGGAACCCAATAAATTTTTCAAATTATTTTTCTTAGAGTCACTCTTGATGTTCTCAAAACATTTCTTTTAAAGTAGCTAGGAAGTTAATCATATGTGGTCTAAATTTCAAATGAAACTAACAGAGATGTTAAAGGAAATTAACATCTTGAGGTTAGCTCAGGGCGGGACTAGAACAGCTGCCTGATCACATCTGCCTCCTTCCCAGGAGTGTGAGCAACCAGGCGGAAGGCGCATTTCCAGTGACTGCTGGATTTCCATCTCCCCCACCTGAAGGCCTTGTACCATTAGGTTGTTGAAATTAAGTTATTTCAACAAAACTAAATTTCTGAGTAAATGGAAAGGCAGACACTTACCCCATCCAATTAAAGAGATGAACAGAATGAAATGTTGAGGAAGAGGCTTCATGGTCCTAATAAGAAGGAAATAGAGCTGGGCAGCACTGAGTCCAGTCCAGGTAAATGTCACTAACAGGAAATAGTGCAACAAGGCAGCAACCACAGTGCATGTGGGATTCTGGATGTCAACAGTGTCTTGCATGAGCATTTCATTTCTACCAGAGTCAGGCTTATTGGTGCTACTATCGCTTTTCTTTAGGTTCTTATTGGAGTTTTCAATTCCAAACACAAAGAGGAGGTTAAAAATCAACATTGATGTGCACAGACTGACCAACACCCAGGTTACTGAAGTTTTTCTGACGTTCCTGAAAACAAAGAAGTAAATATAATTAAACAAATAATCAAAACAGCTGCAAGAAATAAACTCTAGTGAAATTGCGAGTGAACAAAGAAATATTATTACCCAATGGAAATCCAGTTCATAGCCCAGTGGGCCAGCTGGTAAGTCTACCTTCCCAAGTACACCAGAAGAGCACGCTGTCGTTGCATTTCCACAAAGGGGTGAGTTAGAGAAAACAGGTTGATACATCCCTTCCTTGAAACTGTGTTGTAATCAAAGGTGACAGCTATTCTTCAGAGAGGACCCCCACCGAATGCTACTTTCTGGTATTCATACCTCATGTAGTCCCCTCCCAGGGCCAACCTGTGACTTGATCTAACTAATGAAATGCACCAGAGGCCTGGCAGCTAGGGCCAACTTATTCAGCAGATAAAGCAGTGCTTAGGGCCAATGATACTTTTATGGCCTGCAGCAAAGTTTTAACTCCTTTTAAAACCAGAAGGGAAAAGAATGAACTTTTATAGGCCAAAGTACAAATATGAGCATATAATATTAATATATCCACCTTTATACCAATACAGTTGTAAAACACAGTTTTTAAATCTTTTTTTATGGAGGAAGGATCCCATAAAGCCACTTTGCCCATAAAAGTCATAATAAGATTTCCCTTTGGTTCTCCTGGGAGTTCTGAGCCACCAGGTAAAATGTTTAGCTAACCTGCTGAAGAAACCACATAGGAATGCGCTGGGACTATACGGAGTCGGAGAAAGACCCAGCTGTCCCAGCATCCCAGATGAGCCCCAGTGAGTCCAACTCTACCCCATCTGACTGCAGCCTCACAGGAGACCCTAAGAGAGACCAATAGAAAAGCCATACAGCTGAGCCCAGTCAAGCCACAGAATTGTGAGAGATAAGAAATTAATGTTTTAAGCCACTAACTTTCAGGGCAGTCTCTTCTACCACAATAGACAATAGGTTCTACTCTAGATTTGCAAACATATACAAAGGCTATCTATAGAAAGGCTCTAAATGGATTTTTTTAAATTTCAACATGAGAAACTATTGCACATTAGTAGATGAATCCCTGTTCAAAGGTAGAGAAAAAGTCTCTTGCACTTTAAAAAGTATTTTATATAAAAAATAATCAAGTATGATCTCTCTTAGGGTCTCCTGTGAGGCTGCAATCAGATGGTGGGTAGAGTTGGACTCTACTACAAAACGATAGGCCAAATATAATTTTAAACAACTTTTATAAGTTTAAAACAAAATGGTATAATATTTAGCTTATGTTATATTTAAAGAGTAAGGTTCCCATACACATTTTAAATTAAGTAAAAATATTTAAAATTTCTTTTGTGGCCTATTGCTGTTACTAAAGATATTTTGAGCAGACTGATGATTACTATCTCTCTGAAAGACTTACACTCAACAAAATTTCATGTGTGTCTTTTCCATAAGACGTTTCATAACCCTTTTTCCATGGAGTACCTCCCAAGGAACTAGTGTCCCAAGGACCATACTTCAGGAAATACTTGCTGACGGTCAAATGGTCAAGATGTTCTGAATGAGCCAGTTAATATAAAACATGCTTGGACACTGTTCCTTCATTTGAAGATGTAATTTCTGGGTATAGAACAAAGTGCTCTTTAAAATTTTGAGGTTTTTTTTCTTCTTCTCATCTCTACCTAAGATCTTTGCTAGAAAAGAACAGCATTTTCTCATTTTGTCTGCAAGATGGCATTGTTTACCAGTAGTCTTTAGAACGTAGCAAGCACAAGAGAGAAAAAGAGAGAGAGAGAGTGTGTATGTGTGTGTGCTCCTGCTCATGTGTGTGTCCTCTGGTGGCCCACCTGTGTATTTTCAGGTTGGCGAGAATTCAAGGTTGCCCTAAATACGGTTGATCTCAAATGTGAGGTTTCATCCCCTTTTCTGTGCATGTATTATTTTCCTTAGTGGGTAAAAGCAGATATATCCTTAAGTTCCCTCTAATGACATATTATAATTCTCTGTATACTATGCAATGCAGTCTTATATTAATGAAAGTTATAGAATCTCCATTCAGTACCAAGCCCTTCTGGGTTTTTCAGACTACGAGGCCTCTTGGAATAACTCTTTCCCTAAGTTTATTACTGTGCTTAAAATTCTCATGTCTTCAAGTATCCATTTTTAATGTTCCAGAATCTGATGAATAAATCTTTTTGCTAATTACATATCCTTTATGATTTCATAACCTTCCATCACGAAACTTCTCAGTCTTTGGGAAGGTACATAAAAAGCATATATTTAATGCATAAAAAGTATATATTTAAACAGACCTCTGTTCATTCTTTTGATGTTTTAGTTGAGATTTTTCTGGACAATCCAAAATTTCATTCAGTCTTTTGAAAGCTTTAATGACCAGAACTGAAAAAAGTACTCAAAGGAATCCTTTTATATAAGAACAAAGTTAGTTTCTAATTTTTTTCCAATTTCAAACATAAATTATAATCCACAGGGAGAATGGGCTATTTTCAGATACCCTGGCTCTTCTGTACATTACTATCTTCTGTGCATTAATATTATATTATATTATTTTTACATATAACATATATTATAATTTATGTATTAATGTATATATTTTATATATTTAAATTATGTATAATTTATTATAACTTATACACATTATATATAAATTATATATAATTATGTGGGACCCTGTCTATGAACAAAGAAAACTATTTGATTCACAATTTAAAAATCAATGTCACTTAAAGTTTTGTCTTTGTTTCCTGATGAGTTTTTAGTGACGTCTATGGTAGCAAAACTGCTAAGAAACATACTGATAGAGAATAAAAAAAAAAATCTGATGATGACTGGAAGGAGTGAAATTTTAGGCAAAGAAGCCAGTTTTGCAGCTACTGCAACTTATTCACATGGGACCAAATAATTGTTCAAGAGTGATTATGATAGAAATGCAAATGAAAGAACAAATATAAGAGGCATTTCCTTTTACATGACAGACCTGTAATTACATGGCATAGAATTTTCCTTCAAGGCACTTACCACTATTTGTAATTATATACTTAATTCTGTATATATTTGTATAACATCTGTCTTCCCCCAAGAACGTAAATACCATGAGAGATGGAGTTTACTTGTCTCATTCATAATTTTGTACTCAGTCTGCTCATGGTGCTTGGCCTATAGTTAACATTCAGTATAAAAACTTTAAATGAATGGCATGAGACTCATTAAGTGTAATAGGTAAAGAGGAATCAAATGGAATTCTGGCTCTTTGAACAAATGGCTGATTCTAAGTATGAGACAGAGAAAGTGATAAATGTGCCTGGGTCATTTTGCTGTATCTGAAATAAAAAAGTGCCGATAGGGACATGCCAAAACAACATGGAGAGATTCCCTCTGGTTACAGTGGAGAGTACACGTCTTTACAAAAGAATACAGTAACTAAATGTAGAAAGAATAACAGATAAGAAAAATCATCATTTTCAACTATCAATGTACAAATGTAATACAGTAAGGATCATTGGTGGACACCAAAACCACTGAGTAAGAGTTGAGGAACAGGATAGTCACACAATCATAAAGTTTCATCCCATGGATTTTCTATTACGTACAAAGGGAAAAACATGAACCTCTAGCGTGTAGAAGTCCAGTGGACACTACTGTAAACAAAGGATCAAACGAAATAGAACCAATAATGGGACAAAGTGACATTATGTGCTTCTTGTTCCATCACACTGAAAAAGACTTAATGTTTTAGTATTCTCATCAAAAATATTTAATCTGTATCTGATCATGAGGAACATTTCAGACAAATCCTAAACTGTAGAACATTCTACCTTCTATAGCATAATTGACCCCCCAACATCTCAAAAGGTTTAATGTCCTAACAGACCAAAACAAACAAAAAAGCAGAGGAATTATTTTAGGCTAAATGAAACTAAAGAGACATGACAACTAAATGAATTGGAGAAAAAAAATACCCAGCTATAATGAACATTACTGGGACAACTGGAGAAATTTTAATATGGGTTATATATTAACATGATAATATTATATTAATGGTAAATTGCTTGAGCTGAACTTCCTGAGTGAGGAATGGTATTATACTGTAGAGGAGAATACCCATGTTCTTAGGAAATACTTGAAGAATTTAGACATGACAGTCATGATGCCTACAAATTACTTTCAAAATTTCACAGCAAAAAATAGAAAGATAAAGCAAAATATTAATAATTAATGAATCCAGGTGAAGGGTATGATTGTTCAGTGTTCTCTTGACTTTTCTGTCAGTTCTTAATTTTTTAAATAAAACTTCAGAAAAGATTTTTAAACAGCAATGCCTTTAAAATAAAAAAAAATCTGAATTTATACATCTCAGAAAACATTTATGAAGGAATTTAGTAGGGAGAAACAATTCTGAAGGAAAGATGAGTTCATCTTGAGACATCTTGAGTTTAAGAAGAGAACCAGGTAGGAATGCACAATAGACCCACTTACCCTACTATGGGCCAGGTACTATGCTCAGTCCTGGGGATACAGTGATCAAAACAAACAACAACAGCAACAACAAAATCAGAGAAGGTCACTGTCCTCATCAATTTTCATAGTGATGGGGAAAACAGATAGTACACAAATAATCTAATAAATAACAAGCTGATATTTACAGATTATTAAAAATATAGCATATAAAAAAAAACACAAGCACTCCTTTAGTGAGGAGGTCAAGGTGGAAAGAAATATGTTTTTATAAGTAATTTTTTAAATTAGATTTTTTTGAACTATGGAATTCAAAGACTTTTAAAAAGTTTCACCATTTGAAAACTTAATATATGTTTTAAACTAGTTTAATTTTCAAACACTTGCTGCTTAACAATGTTTTATTCTTTTGCAAATGAAAATTGGTATGTTTAACACAAAGGAACTATAGCATTAATGAGCTTTGGGACCATACTAGTTTTACATGACAAGCTTGTAATTACATGGTATGCTATTTTTCTTCAAGGCACTTACCACAGTTTTAATTATATATTTATTTGTATGTATTTCTTAGCTTCTCCAGAACTGAGTGTCCTCTTCTATAAAATGAGCTTATTGAACTAAATCTGATTTCCCTTGTAGTTCCAAAAGACTGTATTCTGATGAAAATAGCGATTTCTCTCATAAGAAGAGCCTGCTTCCTTTCTTACCTGGTGACAATCTGAAATATAATTGTGAGAGCCAGACCGGTAATGGACAGCGCACATCCAACGCTGGATAATACGTTTAGTGATTCAGGATATTTATAATTCTTTTTGAAACTCTGGAAAACAAGTTAAGACTTATATTTTTAAATAACCATTCCTGAAATGTCTATGAAAGTCAACGTCATAAAAAGTTACATTGATCAAAATAGCCAGATAGTTGCCAAATATATCTTTTTATAAAACTGTTGGTAAGTTTTAAAAGGAAATAAATGAACCCCTTATCTCGAAGCAGTTTATATGAAGTAGTGTTGAGAACGGTTATCTAACTGTCCGTTAGGGAAAACATATATACTTTTCCTCAATGTCTAAAATCAAAGTTGTTTGGATTAGATCTAAATTGGCTAGTTATTTCATTTACCCTTTACATTATTTTTATGTATAATTATAATCGAAGAGGAAATCTGCATATCTAAGCTAATGCACTAAAAGTAAAGTTGCAGACATACTTTTTGGACATGGAAAGATGTTCATATGATCCTGTAAATATTTTTTTTAAGGATTTTATTTATTTATTTGACAGAGAGAGACACAGTGAGAGAGGGAACACAAGCGGGGGAGTGGGAGAGGGAGAAGCAGGCTTCCCATGGAGCAGGGAGCCCAATGCGGGGATCAATCCCAGGACCCTGGGACCATGACCTGAGCCGAAGGCAGACGCTTAACCACTGAGCCACCCAGGCGCCCCGATCCTGTAAATATTTTTAAAAGGAGATCTCACTTTTGTCTAATATATCTCTATCTATGCCAGTATTTTAGTATATATTCAGAGATAAGCATATTCCATGTGAGTACGTACTTTTAGAACTTGGAGAGGTAATAATGGTGGCCACTGAGTAGGATATATAGAATTTTTTGCCTGTCTTTATTTTAATAATTTAAAAAATTAGAAAGTAATATTTACATAACATGAAAGTAATATAGAAGCATAAAAAAACCCATAGATTTCTCTTACCTACCAGCTACCCCACATCATACCACCCTACAACTTGAAATCCTATCTCTTCTCCAGAGGTGACCTTTTTTTTAATGTACCTACAAATATTACCTATGTCTCTTGTACAAATACATAGCAGTTTGTTGAATTGCTATTTTAATTTAAAGATGTCATAAATATTTTTCCATATTAGTGTATTTCTGTTTAATAAATAAACTTCCATACCTTATGCAATAAGTATGTATTGCTTTTATAGGAAGAAAACAAAAATAAAATAAATTTCATTTGAAAAACGAAGATTTCACATTAGTTCCTGTGTACAGTATACTGAGTAAATACCAAAGAATTATAGACTATACATAGATCGTCAGACCTTAAAAATCATCTATTCGCTTAGAGTTTGTCTGCTCCTACTTTACGTACAATCCTAATCAGTCTTCTAAAAACTTTGGCAACCCAAAACTAATTACAAATGTGAGCGGTAGGCATTGAGGCAGACTCATACATTAATGAGAATAGCCGAAAGTTTGACCTCAGGAAAGAAGAAAAATAACTATGACAATGTAGTCTGTATCATTTAATATATATAACAACCCAAGCTTTACACAACTAGTGAATGATACTAATGATCTTTAAGATATCAAAAAAGTTGAAATTTTATCTTTACTATTTTCTAATTAAGAAAGCAGATCTCTGGGGGCGCCTGGGTGGCTCCGTCTGTTAAGCATCTGCCTTCGGCTCAGGTCATAATCCCGGAGTCCCGGGATGGAGCCCCGCATCAGGCTCCCTGCTCAGCGGGGAGTCTGCTTCCCCCCCTGACCCTCCCCCTTCTCATGCTCTCTCTCTCTCTCTCTCATTCTCTCTCTCAAATAAATAAATAAAATCTTTAAAAAAAAAAATACACGACTGAGCCACCCAGGTGCCCCTATAAGGGAAATTCTTGTCTAGAAAGAGATGACTATGTACATCCTTACCATTAATACAGCAAAATTAGTAGTATGGTTGCAGTGGCAGTACAAGAATTCATCCGTGCTCCCATTTTTGTGACACCCATCTGTGTCCCAATCCTTTGTTAACAGATTCCAATAGACACAGGCATAGGAATGGAGCTGGAATTCTTTTAGGTCGTACTAGAAATTGAAAAGACAATTGCAACTGATTTTTTTAAAAATGCTGAATCAGGTAGAAAAAAACCGAATAGGATAAAATAAGCATATGAGAAAATTAGGTATGTACTAAGTACCACATCTTCATTATAGATTAGGGAGGGGGGAAGGGATATAAAACTCAAATTAGTTCATTTTGCATTTAGCTAGTCTGACCAAAAAAATGGGTGTGGGGAATGTTTCAATGAATATCTTCAAAGAATCTTATGAAGAGTTTTACTGTTAAATCAATAATTGTATGCCTAAAATGAATATTACACTGTATGTTAACTAACTGGAATTTAAATAAAAACTTAAAAAATATAGAGTCTTCCTGTGGATTTCTTTTGCCCAACCAACCCAGCTTTTGTAATCAAAAGTGGCCTGAAAACAATTTTTTTTTGGTTTTTTTGGTTAGAAAAACTCACCTTTGGCTTAAAGACAATGTCAACAGAAGCTCCCTGACTGTTATTTTTATCAGTACTGCTTGAGATAACTTTTTGACTAAAATTTGATTTAGCTTTGAAACTTTTTGATTGGAAAAGCTTGTTGTTTTGATACACTACAAAGCCGCATGCCGTTGTGTTACCTATGAGACAAAAAAAAAAAAAAAATCAACAAATGAACCCTAGGGCAAACAAAAAACAAAGTCCCGTGTCATTGTTCAACTGCATGACTGCCTAATATTTGAGTAAAGTACAGTAAAAATGGTTTGCTAACTGAATCTTTAGTTAATTGCAATATGTAATTAACATATATAACCTGTGCCTGGCCGTTCCACTAACATTAATTTTTTTCCTGAGGTTCAGATTCCTTACCTTCTAAAATGACGACAAAAATTTCTGCTTAATCCACCTCAAGGAGGTATTGTAAGGATCTCATGTATAAAATAAACATCTTGCTTTCTAGGCAGTGAAACAGAGTGAACATGGCATTCAGGTAGCCCAAGGCCATGTCGCTTCCCCCCCGCCCCTGGCTGATAAGACATCAGACAAGAAACAGCAACGAAAAATGGTGAATATCGGGTTGGCAGTGCTAGGTTGGCAGCACTAGGAAAGTGCTCTATGAGACCTGTTTCCTGTTAAGAGGGACTGAGCAGAAACCAGTCTACTCAGTCACAGAGCCAGGAGTTCACGTTGTACATATCAGGGACTGTTTCAAGGGAGCCGGATACTTTCCATCATCTCTTGAACTACTACTGGTCTCTGCTACTTCATGATGATCATGGGTTTTTCCCAAGGCTGGAAGGCTATTGTGACATATTTCTTCAGAACATTGGGAAAAAGTGGTCAGGTGTTCCTCAGAGATCCTAGGAAAGCATGGCCGCAGCAGAGGGTTTTTCGTGGAAGCCGGCCACAGCAGTTGTCAAACAGAACGACCTAAGGAACGCCCCTAACACTTTATACAACTGTTGGCCATATTTAAGACAGAAGCAACCAGAATAATTACAAGTTTGAACTGAATTAATTTTTTAAACTCTGTTTTTACCAGTGATATCAAGAAAACTAAAACAGTGGCAGTGAGACGAGCCTCTTCAGTGTGATTGGAGAGATAGGCAGACAATGCCCTGACAGCCCCTAAATGTCCTCCCCAGCCAGCCATGTTCTAGCCTCTACTTAGAAAGAAAGACATTGGTTTACGGAGCATTTTCATGGCACATTAACCTTGCCAAATTGTTCCTTCTGGACACTAGATGACAAAGTGAACCCTAAAATTGCAGTAAGGCTTCTTTTCATTATTATTGTTTTGTTTTGTTTTGTTTTGTTTTTATAAAAGAATGACATGCTTGATGTAAAAGTCAAATCCAGGGGTGGCTGGGTGGCTCAGTTGGTTAAGCACCGGGCTCTTGACTTCGGCTCAGGTCATGACCTCAGGATTGTGAGACCGAGCCCCATGTCAGACTTCGTGCTCAGCAGATCGGCTTGACATTCTCTCTCTCCCTCTCCCCCTGCCTCTCCCCCTGCCTCTCCCCTGCCTCTGCCCTGCCTCTCCCCCTGCTCATGTTTGTGCACGCACAGGCATGTGTTCTCTCTCAAAGAAATAAATAAATCTTTTCAAAAATATAAAGAAATAAATAATAAATAAATAAAAGTTAAAAAATGAAAGTCCCTTCTTACTCCTCTTCTCATTCCTACAGTATTTTGGTCATTTATTAGAAAATAATCACTTCCATCTAGATATTCAGATTCATCAGAAAAAATTCTATTTACCGTTATAATTTTTGTTAAATCTCCATATCTCTAGATATACCTTCTTGATGTTTATTTATATTCTTTCACTCTCTCCCTTTTCTTAATCAAATTTGTTAGAATCTTGCCTATTTTATTAGTCTTTTCGTGGAACTGATATTTTATTTTGTTGATCAAATCTTGTTAACTTCTGTTTTTATTGTTTCTCTATTACATTTACTAATTCCTTCTTTCTAGTTTCTTCAGATTTACTTTATTTTTATGATTCTTTAGTTGAATGCTCAGTTCATTTTTTAACAATTTCACTTATTTTCTAATAAATTTATTAAAGCACATACATTTTACTTTAAATAATTTAAATAATTTACTTTAAACACTAAAAACATGCAGATGAAAATATAGGAGACTATCATTATGACTTTAACATAAGGAAGAATTCAAATAAATCTTTGTCCACATCCCATAGGTGTTGATATGTGGTATTCTCATTGCCATTAATTTTCAAGTACTTTGTAATGTACAGTTTAATTTCCTTTCTAACAATGTTTATTTTTAATTTCTAATTGGATAAAATTTTGGCTATGCTTTTATGGTACATATCTAGTTTTATTGCATTGTGGTCAGGAACTATGTCTTATGTAACTTTTGTTTTACAAAATGCACAAGCTTTGATACATGTCACATATCATATGACCTCACTGATATGAGGAATTCTTAATCTCAGGAAACAAACTGAGGGTTGCTGGGGTTGGGGGGGGTGGGAGGGATGGGGTGGCTGGGTGATAGACATTGTGCTATGGTGAGCACTGTGAATTGTGCAAGACTGTTGAATCACAGACCTGTACCTCTGAAACAAATAATGCAATATATGTTAAGAAAAAAAAAAAAAGAAGAAGATAGCAGGAGGGGAAGAATGAAGGGGGGGAAATCGGAGGGGGAGACGAACCATGAGAGACGATGGACTCTGAAAAACAAACTGAGGGTTCTAGAGGGGGGCGGGTGGGGGGATGGGTTAGCCTGGTGATGGGTATTAAAGAGGGCACATTCTGCGTGGAGCACTGGGTGTTATGCACAAACACTAAATCATGGAACACTACATCAAAAACTAATGATGTAATGTATGGTGATTAACATAACAATAAAAATTTTTAAAAAATGCATCAGCTTGTCTACATGGTCAGTAGAAAATGACCATGTCGTGAGTAATTAAATGGTCAGTTTTTGAACCGTTTGATGGATATATGAAAAGAACTTTTGTTATCCCTTTTCTGCCTACAAACAAAACTATACATATGCTCAAATGTATATAAATGTCAAGTTTATTAATTTTTTTGTCTACTTGATCTTTAATTTCTGGGGTAGTTGCACTAAAATCTTTCCTTAGAAGAATGGTTTGTCAATAATTTTTTCTTATATATGTCAATGATGTCCTCTTAGAACAAAGAATTAAAACAGGTAATTTGGGGGTTTGGTTTCTAAAAATCATATAAAATATGTCCCTTTCAGGGGTGCCTGGGTGGCTCAGTTGGTTAAGCATCTGCCTTCAGCTCAGGTCATGATCCCAGGGTCCTGGGATCGAGCCCGCATCAGGCTCTCTGCTCAGTGGGGAGCCTGCTTCTTCCTCTGCCACTCCCCCTGTTTGTGTTCCCTCTCTCGCTGTGTCTCTCTCTCTCAAATTAATAAAATCTTAAAAAAAAAAAAGTCGCTTTCAGTCCAGCCTGAGTCTGTGTCTCTTAATAGTGTGTTTTAGCTTATTTGAAAAGAATGATAATTTATAAGGAATAAGAAGTTAGATCCCAGGGATGCCTGGGTGGCTCAGTCGTTAAGTGTCTGCCTTCGGCTCCAGTCATTGATCTCAGGGTCCTGGGATCAAGCCCCGCGTCAGGCTCTCTGCTCAGTGGGGAGCCTGCTTCCCCCTCTCCCTCTGCTGCTCCCCCTGCTTGTGCTTGCTCTCTCTCTGTCAAATAAATAAATAAAATCTTAAAAAAAAAAGTTAGATCCTTATCTTTCACCAAACACATAAATTCTAGGTTCACTGAAGACCTAAAGGCATACACAAACACTAAAAACATGCAGAAGAAAATATAGGAGACTACTGTTGTGACTTGAACATAAGGAAGGATTTCTTTTAAAAAGTACTGATTATAGGGGCACCTGGGTGGCTCAGTCGTTAAGCGTCTGCCTTCGGCTCAGGTCATGATCCCAGGGTCCTGGGATCGAGCCCGGCATCGGGCCCCGCATCGAGCCCCGCATCGGGCTCCCTGCTCAGCGGGAAGCCTGCTTCTCCCTCTCACTCTCTCACTCCCCCTGCTTGTGTTCCCTTTCATGCTGTGTCTCTCTGTGTCAAATAAATAAATAAAATCTTTAAAAATAATAAATAAAATAAAAAGTACCAATTACAGAGGAAAATATTGATACATTAGACTGCCCTAAAAATTAAAATTTGGGTATGACAAAAGATGTCAAAAGCCAAGCAAAAGAAAGCTACAGACTGGAGGAAAGATATTTGCCACTTTATAACCAATAAAGAATTAGTGTCCAGAGTACATAAAGAACTTCTAATGACCAATAAGAAAAAGACAAACAATCCAGTACAGAAATGATCAGAGTGTCTGAATAAGCAAGTCACAGAGTAGAATATCAGAACGTCTAATAAGTACATGAAAAGATACACAAATAAAGGGAAAAAAATCTAACATATCATTCAATTTCCAAGCTGCAAAAGGAATATAACAATACTTGTAACCTATTTATCAGATAGACAAAAGTTAATAAGCTCAATAATGTATTAATAAATCTCCCAAAAGCGATGTTTAGTTTAAAAAAAGTAAGTTCCATACACTATGATACCACTTAGGTAAATATTTAAAACCCGCAAAATAGAATACTTTATATATGGATATATAAATATGTAGCAAAAGTTTAAAGGCAACCATGAAAATGAAACACACTGACTTAAGAAAGATATAAGTTGGGGCGCCTGGGTGGCTCAGTTGGTTAAGCAACTGCCTTTGGCTCAGGTCATGATCCTGGAGTCCTGGGATGGAGTCCCACGTCGGGCTCCCTGCTCAGTGGGGAGCCTGCTTCTCCCTCTGACCCTCCCCCTTCTCGTGCTCTATCTCATTCTCTCTCTCAAATAAATAAATTTTAAAAAATCTTTAAAAAAAAAAGAAAGATATAAGTTCTGGGGGGGAGGGGGGAAAACAGGACACAGGACTTCAGGTACAGTTATAATACCTTCCCTTTTTTTTAAGAGGTCTGAAGCAAACGTAGCAAAATTTGACATCTGCTTACCTTGCTGGTGGGTACACAGTGCTGCATGTGTTATTAGCTATTCTTTTCAATATGCATGAAATAATTTTTAAATTAAAAGAAAAACACAGAAAAGAACATAAAAGACTTAGATTTAATCTCTACCTTCACAAAGCATGGAGCCAAAGCAAATGGGAGCAAAATTCCACAACATGCCGGATCCATGAATAATACCCCTTTTCTTTATCAGTGCTATTATGAATTCTAAAATATGCACTTTCTAACAATGGAGTGCTTTTTAAATTTTATTCTTTTTGGGGGGGAGGGGCAGAAGGAGAGGGAGAGAGAGAGAATCTTAAGCAGGCTCCACATTCAGCGCAGAGCTGACATGGGCTTGATCTCACAGCCCTGAGATCATGACCTACGCTGAAATCAAGAGTCGGATGCTTAACCAACTGAGCCACCCAGGCACCCCGCATTGGATTTGTTTTTTTTCTGGGGGGAGAATAAAAGTAAATGTGTGTGCTTGCTTTCCTTATTATTATTGTCAAAGTAATCGCTTTTTTAGACTTTGAAAAGTACAAACATTTCATGTTAGACGTTAAATTTTCTGAAGGGCTATATGCAAGATATAGGGAGACCGTGATGAGCACCATATTAGCGGAGATAACTAAAATCTGTTGCTACAAGATGATGACTGTACCAATTACATAAAATATCCCAAGGCAGGTCCATAGGATGAATCTGAGCCTGTGAGTGCCATGCCAAGAGTAAATATGGGCAAAGTTTGTGACTGAATATTTTTAAATATATTTTTAAGTGTAAAACTGACCTGCATTAGCTAGATTTTTCTTAGAAAACATACTTGTGTCCATGACCAGAGCATTTTAATTCTGCTACAAAGGTTTTTGAAAAGGAAAAAAAGAAAAGAAAACATCTCTATCATCTAGAACAGTAGAGTTGAGATTACCATAATTTTAAGATTTTATTTATTTATTTGAGAGAGAGAGAGAGCATGTGGTGTGCACGAGTGGGGTGAGGGGCAGAGGGAGAAGTAGACTCCCCGCTGAGTGGGGAGCTGCATATGGGGGCTCAATCCCAAGATTCTGAGATCATGACATGAGCCGGAAGTCAGAGGCTTACCAACTGAGCCACCCAGGTGCCCCCAATTTGAGTGTATTTTTTAGTGTAACAAAGTTTGAGACCTACTTTTTGAGGTACTGAGCAATATTTGAAGTTCAGTCTCCCTATCTGGATTAAGTTTGTCCACATCTCTCTCCACAACCGTGGAACCAGGAAGGAGATAATCACTAGTTCCTGTCAGAAAGAAAAAAGCAGAATTTTAAAAGTCTACATTTTCATAGATAGAGCATTATTCATGGTTGATAGCAGAATGCTGTCTGATATTATAAGTACATGAGACAAACCACTCACCTTTCTTCACAGAGAAGCGAACGTTTAGAGATTCCATAGTGCTTTCTGAAGAGAAAGCCATAGACTCTACCGCCACATTAGGTTTCACCACTGACATGTTACCCGAAGACGTAGAATAAATCTCCATTTGCTTAATAAGTCTGTACAAGATAAAACATAACAACATAATATTCTAGAGATTTGTCATAAAATCAAAGGTGTGTGTTCTCTCCCACATTCCAGTAGAAAGGCACGACCATAGAACTCATGTGAACACTGGCACAATCTACTTAAAATAATTTATTGTCTTCACCAGAATCTTGCTTTGTTATGTATATACTTTTTCTAAAGTTCTGATGGACTGTCTCCACTGAAGGATACCTTATGTATAGATTCCAGAAAGTTGGAACTCAACAATGACAAAGTTTCCCACAGAAGTAGTCTTTACTGTGTTGCTCTTCACACAAAGGATGGTGTTGCTACCCATCATTGGCCAGACATGTGCTTCTTGTTTCTCCAGTGATGAGAACCAATTTCCGCTTATTCAACTTCCTCCTCTCACCCAAACCCCTTGGGGTCTAAAGCATCTCTTGTTAGTTGTTGGTTCCAGAGGCAACAGTTCATTTGGAACCATGCAAGAATAGAGCTCTGAGCTCACTGCCTCGGTTATTAACTCTACATTGCAGGTTTCCACAATGTTCTTTTCTACTTTGGATGACTTTAAAGACAGATTAGATGGAAGGTGGGAGGGAGTGGGGGAACCTGTCAATTTGGTGTTTTCCAGAGAAAAGTCATAAGACCTTTTCTTTTCCTTGTTTCCTGTAAGAAATACTTGCACTATTTCTGTACTTAACAAAACAAAATCTCTACAGCTAAGATAACTGATTCAATCTAGTTTTCCCAGAAATGAAGGAATTTCATTAAAATGTAGTTGTTCCATATTCTAAATCTCTATTTTGGCCACTAAAGTATTTTTCCCTTTCCCCAACTGACATAATAGACAAATTTTAAAATAATTAAAAATTGCTTTCATAAAGAGAGTATGATAATCATTTATATGGAAACATTCGAGTTGGCTTCTCTGTTTTGAATGTTTTCCTTTTGTAACACCATTTTCTGAATTTTTAGCAATTCACACTATACATTTCCCACTTAATGAATAACGATCATACTCCAGAGCTGCTTTCGACAGGAAGACTACATAACAAAATTTTAATCTTGTAAGAACATATTTCATACATTTGTCAACCAAACAATATCTGTTGAGCACCAACTAAGAGGTCATACCCTATGAAACACTGGAGATAGCAAGAGGCGCTCCCTCAGGCATTGGAAGTCTAAAGGGAAGGATGTACTAGATATCTGAGAGTGACTGCAGGGTTCACAACCACTTTTGTTTTTTATTTTTATTTTTTTTAAAAGATTTTATTTATTTGACAGAGAAAGACACAGTGAGAGAGGGAACACAAGCAGGGGGAGTGGGAGAAGGAGAAGCAGGTTTCCCACGGAGGAGGGAGCCCGATGCAGGGCTTGATCCCAGGACCCTGGGATCATGACCTGAGCCAAAAGCAGATGCTTAACTGACTGAGCCACCCAGGTGCCCCTCACAACCACTTTTAAAGGGTTGCTCTAGCCACAGCCACTTTTAAGGCCATTTTTTCCTTCCATATGATTCTTCCCTGCTCTTGCCATACTGATTCGATTAGAGATGAGTGCTTGCCTCGGAGTACCCAATGCAGAGAATTGCCATTGGCCAGTATAAATGACTGGAAGAAGAAATCAGATTCTTTTCACTCAGGAATTTTCAAGTTAGTGCCATAGTTATATCGGGAAAGTCATGGTTTAGAGGCGACCAGAGAGGTCATTCTGTCATTGTAAGGACAAATACAAACTTAAAATAAGAGGTTTAATTTTTCCTGTTGAAAATAAAAGATGGGATGCCTGGGTGGCTCAGTAGGTTAAGTGTCTGCCTTCTGCTCAGGTCATAATCCCAGGGTCCAGGGATCTGGTCCCTCATTGGGCTCCCTGCTCAGTGGGGAGCCTGCTTCTCCCTCTCCCATTCCTCCTGCTTGTATTCCCTCTCTCACTGTCTCTCTCTCTGTGTCAAATAAATAAATAAAATTGTAAAAAAAAATTTATATATATATGTGTGTGTGCATATATATATATATACACACATATATATATATATATATAAATTCTTTTGAGAACTAGATTGGCATTTTGTCCACTTTATGACCTAGGAATGTCTTTCTCAAGGACATAGAAGCCATCTCTTTGAAATGTAAACATCAAGGGATTCCCTATTTCCCAGTTCCTGTGAGGGTAGGAGCCTAATTTTAGTGGGTGGGTACCTTGCTCCAAGTTGCAAAGCTACCTCTTGTCATAAAGATATGAGAAGTTTGTTCTCCCTCTGGATAAAGTCAGTTAGCTAACACAGATGATCACCTCAATTACTGGGTTAATGTAGGATAAACTATGTGTGTCGGTGTTGTCAAGTTCTCTTAATTGAGGACTAGTTATTGATTACTAGTTATATCTGCTTGGCTATATAAAGAGGTGAGATTCCTCTCTGTCTGCAATCTCTTAGTATTTGCCTGTGATACACATCACATTCTGGTTTAACGTTTATGCAATAAAAAGTGTTTTCTTTCTCTACTATGTTTGTGGAGAGCATTTCTGGGTTGAGAAAAGATTTTGTTTTTAATTATATTTCCCCAATGTCATGAACAGGCTTAATTTATGATAGAGCAGAAACTAGAAGATGAAACATACATGTTTATTGAGTCATGTTAATTATAAAGACCAACTGCTTTTTTTTCAAGACCAAATATATAAAAGTCAAGTATCATGCTAGTGATTTACATATATTAACTCAGTTGAGCCTCACAAGAATCCTACTGAAGTGAGTCTCAAAGTTATTCCCATATTATACTAAAGAATCCGATGCTCTTCCAAGAGAAATGAATTTGTCCAACATCATGTACCGACTAAATAACATTGCTAAGATTTGAACCCAGGACTGTCTGACTCCAAAGGCTGTGGCCACAACCATTATATTATCCCAGAAGAAAGGCCCGCAAACTCCTCTATGGGGACCTTCAGAGCTGCCTTTGATGCCCTGCCATCTTCCTACTCCAGAAGTCATAAAGCCCCGCCATATTATGATACTGTTTTTAGGTTCCCATGAGATTCCATAAGCCTCTTTACAATAGATCTCTGGTCAAGATAATTTAAGCAGGCATCTTTTAACCAAAGAAGGCTGGCTGGAACAAAAATACAAATAGAAATGTGAAATGTAAACGTACAAGGTGGTCAGTATTAGGGAAGCAGTTTTGCATTCCCAAGGATAGGTAAACAAAGACAATTACGAGCCCTGAATTTGACAGCAAAGTTTCAGGGTGATAGCTCAGTCTTTGTGACAAATGGTCAAAATGGAGAAAAGAGGTCTTAGATTCACTGATTGCAGTAGGATGCTCTTAACAGCAGAGACCTTGCCCATGGCTCCTCCCAACTTAGACCAAGAGAATGGATGAATGGATGCTAGAGAACTTCACTAAGACAACTTGAGCCAGCTGGAGCTGGGCAGGTTTTTTCCTTCCTGTCACCTTCCTGTTTTACTCTCACACTGTCCACTTCTCCCCATGAGTGGAGAAGGGGAGTCCAGTAGCTTAGAGATGCAAACAGGAAATTGTGAATGAAAGAAGGGAGAAGCCAAAGTGAGATGGGCCACGAAGGCCCAGTGTCTGCCAGGAGACCCTGCAGGTAGGCCCAGGTTCAGGGGACAGAGTTTGGAAAGGAAGAGTTCCCCAGAGCAGCAATTAATTTTCTTCTCCAGGGAGAGAGGAGCTTTAGCATCACCTCTGCTGGCAGTTCCTGAGGAGTACTAAGGGCTTGGTGACCTGATCTGGGGGGCGGAAGCCTGAGGCGACAGCCTTATCTAACTGAATGAGGCTCCGAGTCCACGAGGGCTTATGCATAAGACCACCTGGGAAAGTCAACTGACAGACCAGGATTAGAAAAGTAAGCAGACTAGAAATCCACAGTGGGAGGAATTACTACGAGTGTGGTTGTAACATTTCTGTTTCAGTGTATCCCATATTTAAAATTTTTATTCATCCTCTAATCACCTCCTTCGATACCATTTGGATATTGCACATAAATCACACAGAATCAAGTTTTTCTCCATGTCTTAAGCCAGTAAAATTCATAATTGCTTATTGTCAGGACTGTATTTTCATCTATATCATGATGTGTGACTTTCTCAGCCAAATCTCATAGTTGCTCTCTCCTCAGCTTTCTCACCAAAAAACATCCACACTTCTCCTTTCCCTCTAGCAAGACTGCAAGCACAGAGCCTCCAGCTCTGAAGGGAGCCCACTCTGGCTCTCAAGCTCCATGTTCACTGAACAGAGACTCTGAATCCCATGGCCACTTCCTTCTCCAACTTCAAGAAAAATGGGAGTCTAGGGGCGCCTGGGTGGCTCAGTCGTTAAGCGTCGGCCTTCGGCTCAGATCATGATCCCAGGGTCCTAGAATCGAGCCCCACATCCGGCTCCATGCTCCACAGGAAGCCTGCTTCTCCATCTCCCACTCCCCCTGCTTGTGTTCCCTCTCTCACTGTGTCTCTCTCTGTCAAATAAATAAATAAAATCTTAAAAAAAAAAATGGGAGTCTCCACACTCCCAGTGAGAAGGGCCCAGACTCCTATTGAAATCTGAAGTCATAAAATACGCCAGTTAAACTGCTGAAACAACAACCTCTACCACCATCTCTCAGAATTACAATATTTGAATGTCTTATCCATTTCATGCTTTTGTACTTTTTCTACTTTGAGGGCTCAACACAGTAAAAATGAGAAAACTGAGAACTACTTCTAGGAATTTCTCCTAAAAAAATAATGGGCCAGGCAAACAGAGATTATGTATAAGAATGTTGATTGCTCAAAATATTAAAAGACTTGAAGCAATCTAAATGTCTTTCAACAGGAATTGCTTAAATAAAAGTTCACTCATATTATGCAGTATCTAAAATTTATGTTGTATATGTATAGATATTTATATTGAAAATATGTTCATAAGTTATTACTAAGTGACAAAAATAAGCTATAAATCAGTAGAGTATGTAATATGATACAAACACAGAGAAAGATCTGGAAGAATATATACCAACAGGTTAATAAAGGTGGGACAGTTTTTTAAATTTTGCTCAACTGTATATTTTCTTATTTTTCTATAATGAGCATATAAATTTACTTAAATTTTTTAAAAATCAAGAAAACTATATATAAGGGAAAAGCACAATGAATCCTAGTTAAGAGACCTCTGTAATAAAGTACGTAAGTCTTATTATAAATATACAACCAAAAGTATGTCAAAACATAGGAATCAAAAAGAGAGAAAGCAGGTAGAGTTGGATTTTTTTTTTTCAGTGTAGCCTTGGGAAAGCTAAAGAAAGCTTAGCCAAGATACACCAGGATCTTGGGGATAGCTGAGTTGTGCGTAGGGAGCGGGCAACATGTCCTGCAAAGTTATGCTATTATTTTCAGCTCTGTACATTGAGAAGAGTTGGAAGAGCTCCTTTTGTGCATGCAGGCTGACCCAAGCTTGGCCATGCCAAACGAAGGCTAGGAAAATAAGTTCTAGTCTAAATCATCCCAGTTGCTCTCTATCTCCCAGACCATGGCCACCCCAGGAAGCAGGAGTTAACATACAACACTCTGTCCAGTAAATGAAGATTGGGTGGAAAGCCAAGACTTCAGTCGGCATTCCAGAGGACTCAGACAGTTAGTGCAGCCAGGAGAGAAGTAAAGTCACCTCTTTTCCTGCTTTAACCTAGGAAACTAGATAGCACTTTGTAATGTTTTCTTTCCCGATTGGAATTGGGCTTACGTCGTAAAGGTGTCATTATCAGAGGCAGTAGCAGCAGCTTCCTGAAAAACTTGTTCCCGGGCATCTAGAAGTTGACTCACTGTTGTTACAGCAATTACTTTTGCCTGCCAGGAAGAAGGCAGCAAATGATCATCAAAGAAGACATGTATCAGACATCCTCATCGCCACCATTATCATGCATTATTGCGGTGTCAAGTGGCACCACGAGTATGGTAATCTAGAGGCGAGTAGTTTTCAAACTTGAAGGTTTAGTTTTAGACGGCAGAGAGACTAACGATAAGGCATGGGGAAAATTTAAATTCAGTCCATCAGAAAGCTTAGGCTTCTGAATCTGGCCTCCAGGCAAGGTCTTTCCCAGAACCTCTACCCCACCCCCAAGAACACAATAGCAGATGCTTCGATTCAGAAGCAGAAACAAAATAAGACTGAAGGGCTCTGATTGTGGAAATATTACAGCCCATAATACTTAGTATAACTATCATTCTTACTATTGAACTAAGTAAAGCAGTTTCTAGTTTTGTCTTTCTTTCTGCGTCTGTTTTTTCTTCCCCTCCCCCTTTTTAAAAACCTTGTGAGTTTTACCTCAGGTAGAGCATTTCTGCTTGAGTTGAAGATCTGCCCGACCACTCTAGTGGCAGAAATGATGCCCTCTGGAGTTACTCTATTGACATCAGATGTTAAAATCTGAGCTTCAGTCGAAATACTCAGAGACTGTGTTGAGATATTGACTATCTGTTTAAAAAAAAAACACACAACTCTAACTGTATACAACTATGTCTAAACACTTTGCAAGCAATTGCAGGTCAATAAACTGGAATTTAGCTGACCCTCGATCTCCTGCATCTACTCAGTTCTTCATGTTTGCTTCTTTCCTTGTATAAAGGACAAAGTACATGCAGGCTGGTGGCTTTTCCAGCCTTTACTATCTGCTGGGATTCATTAACTAAGTCTGCCTTAGATAGACCAATGCTACTCAACATGGGATCCATGAACCCTGTAACTGTTACAGGGCTCAGGGAGATAAGCATAGAAACTGACTGTAACTGGTCAGAAACTTACACAACAATTGTATCCTGTTGAATCTAGTTATTTTTTTCAGTGATCTATATTTGGATGGGAGCTACACTTGCGTGAACATAGCATAACATATGGACTTGTTCTAATCACTATGTTGTACACCTGAAACTAATGTAACACTGGGTATCAACTACACGTCAATAATAAATAAATAATTTAAAACCTTTTTTAAAGAGAAAAAAGGATTTATTTTTTTTATCCCATTTTCCTAGGAATTCATTGTTATTACATTTTACAAAATTATAGGTCTGCAAGGGATTGGAAATTTTTTAAAAACAGGCTTTTCAGCACAGATTGAGAAACACTGACCTAGGCCATATCTCCAGGTACCAACTGGCCTCCTGGCTCTGGTGTTGTGAGGCTAAAACATGTTCATCTGTATTGCCTTTAGTGGAGCCAGGTGCTAACGTGTGTATATATGGCTTTGTTTTTCACTAGATGGCAGCATTACTTCAAAAATCAAACCGAGGTCACAGGCCATTCATTCACACGTAGGGGAGAGTTGAAAACAGTAATTCAATCAATAAAAACAAGGAAAGCTCTCATTCAATAGCTAGGTCCCTGCTCTGTGCTAGGCACTTTGCTGGATGTTTTATAGGAGTTACCACATTTAGTACAAAAAACAACACTGTGAGTGGAGCATCCTTATCCCTGTTTAAAGGTTTGGAGAGGTAAAGGAGTCCACGCAGCTTACAAGTGTCAGAGCTCACAGCCAAAAACTGGGTAGTCAGACTCCAGAACATAAGGTCTTTCCCCCAGTCTGTGTAGTTGGCACAAACTATGGCGTTGGCAGCCATCTCCACTCTCCACTCCCAACCGCATCTCTACCCCATCCCTGCCCATCTACAATGAGGGAGCCAGAGTGATACAGTGAAGGCTTTAAAATAAAAAGTAACTCCATCACTCTTTGGCTGTGGTTCACTACACCTCTCAGAGGTAGCCTCCTCATCTATAAAATAGGTACATAAATATCTATCTCTGTATAGTTGTTTTAAGAATTAAACATGATAAAATAACATATGTAAAATGTTAGCACAGTATTTGGCACACAGTAAGTGGCTCAATAATTAGTATAATCACTCTAGTTATCTATGAGAATAACTGAGGTTCTATAAAGACTAAATGAGATAACATATTTAACATGCCCTGCACTTAGAAGGACCACTTAAAGTTTCCTTTTCCTCCCCTTTCTTGGCCCCAGATATTAGCAATTCTATGCATTTGCATATAGGTATACACTAGGTTAAAATAATTTTAATCTTGGAGCGCCTGGGTGGCTCAGGCGTTAGGCGTCTGCCTTCGGCTCAGATCATGATCCCAGGGTCCTGGGATCGAGCCCCACATCGGGCTCCCTGCTCAGCGGGAAGCCTGCTTCTCCCTCTCCCACTCCCCCCGCTTCTGTTCCTGTTCTCACTTGCTCTTTCTCTGTCAAATAAATAAATAAAATCTTTAAAAAAAATAATAAAATAAAATAATTTAATCTGCATGAAAAAATATCTAGTCATATATATTTCCCACTTCACTGGCTCATGGACACAGCCCTGAGACCAGCATTAGGTCCTAGGGTTCCCACCTCAAAAGGTCTTTGATGCTTGTTGTTGTTGTTTCTCTTTATTCTGATTCAGTCAACCATCAAAATACCTTCCTTTTGGTCTCAAATGTCAGTGATCTATTTTCTGATATATTTTCACTGCTCTAAAAAGATGAGGCCGTTTAAAATGTGTTGTAGACTGTCATTTGCTAAAATTTGCTGAACCAACAGGTCCAACAGTCCTTTTTCACAAACAGATGTAAACTTAAAAAAAAAAAAAAGAGGGGTTTCAGTTACCAGTTTTTGTTATTCCTAATTTTAGTGTTGACCACTAGGTACCTAAAGAACAGAGACTTCACACAGAGTCGGAATGTTTTCCAGTTGCCCAGCACACGGGCCACATGGCATACCTGCTTTTCCAGCGTTTCCAGAGTTACATTGCAATTTCCTATTGTCACATTTTGTAATTCTATCTCTCCATATATGGTAATATTGCATAGCCGGGTTGCTATTGGATTGCCCGCTTTAAAAAAAAAAGAAGAAAAAAAGACAGTGTTTGCAAAGATGGCCACTAGCAACTAATTGCCTGCTTGGGTACACACCCCCTTCTCAGGGGGACTGTCCTGCTCCTCCCACTGAGGGGTACAGTCTATGCCTCCATTTTCTGAATCTGGGCTAGACTTAAACTTGCACGGGCCAACAGAATGTTCTGTGAGAGTTCCAGACCTTGGGCCTCAAGACTTGAAGTTTCAGGCTTTGCCCTCTTGGAACACTGTCCGGAAACTATTGTACTAGGAAGCGGCTCTGACCTACTGGAGGATGAGAGGCTATGTGAAAGAGAACTGAGTCCGTCCAGCCAGCACCAAAGCGTCATGTGAGTGAGGGTGTCTTGGACATTCAAGCCGTCCATCAACCCACAGAACTATGAAAAATCTAACTCATCATTCAATGAAGCCACAAAATTTGGGATGGTTTAATATACAGCAATGAAAAAGTGAATCAGGCAGTCATTACGGGAAGCTTTTAGGCAGATGTCACTTGTCTTGATTTTTAAATCTGAAATTTCCTACCTTCGAAGTCTACAAGGAAGATGTGCCTTCCAACAACTAGGGACATAGGGCTTTGAATTGGATGTGATGAGGGTTGAGAGATCAGAAATAATATGAAAAATTCCTACTAGAGCAGGCCCCTGGGTGGCTCAGTCTGCCTTCAGCTCAGGTCATGATCCCAGGATCCTGGGATCAAGCTCCACATTGGGCTCCCTGCTCAGCGGGAAGCCTGCTTCTCCCTCTCCCACTCCCCCTGCTTGTGTTCCCTCTCTTGCTGTCTCTCTCTTTCTGTCAAATAAATAATAAATAAATAAAATCTTCAAAAAAAATTCCTGCTAGATATTAAATTATATATTGAACTTTCATTCTCTATCCAAATCTGAGTAACACCTGAAAGGCAAAGAGTTCCATTGTATTGTAGCACTTATCTGATATTTGGTTGGCTCTCAATAAACCCTTTTTGAATCATTGGGTTTATTTCCTGTAATTATCACTGAGCCATCCTCCCTCAGTGTCCTCCTGTGACTAATGCTTAAGAGCCAAAAACATAATATATATCAAACAAGTGTGATGTCCGTTGATGAACATATTACTGACATTTTTTTTTTACTGTTCCTGATTTGGTAGCACACAGTTATTTTTTGTAGCTGTATCTCTTTTATAAATTATAATGAAATAGTTAAGATATACAAAAAATGAAAAATTAAGACAATAGGTATCCATAGACATACCATAGAGTATAAGAAGTAAGTACCAATGACATGAAGCCCCCATGCCTTTTACCTTCTGAGCTTCTAAGCAAGAGGCTAGAAGGACCTATGTAAAGAATAGGATCATGAATATTTGAGTAGGCATGATATATATGGGCAGAAGCAATTTGAATTCTGCAAATGGAATACTGGTCTACATAATCTCTTAGAATAAATAAGATAAAGAAACACACAGGAAAGACCAGTACCTGTAAGTACTACAATATTTCAAAGAGCCCTTGACACACACAAAAATAAATACCTAAATAAAATGTAAAATTCTCCCCAGGGTTATTACTGACAGAAGTTCTATCAAACATTTTCATAAATGATCTAGACTTGGCAGTATTACTGAGATATCCAGTTCTGCAGGAAATGATGATATCCTGCAGGAAAATGTGAGAAATATGAGGCCTGGTCAAAGGAAAGTCAATGCAGGGGCGCCTGGGTGTCTCAGTTGGCTAAACATCTGCCTTTGGCTCAGGTCATGATCACAGGGTCCTGGGATTGAGGCCCACATCAAGCTTCCTCCTCGGTGGGAAGCCTACTTCTCCCTCTCCCACTCCCCCTGCTTGTGTTTCCTTTCTCGCTGTCTCTCTGTCAAATAAATAAAATAAAAAATCTTAAAAAAAAAAAAGAAAGTCAATGCAAACAAAGTTCAGATAAAACACTAAGGGAAAATCATACAGCATAATGGGCTCTAAGCTGTCATGAAAGGAATCCATGCATTTTTAAGGGCTACTCTTGGAAGGGATTACCAAATACAGCATTGAAATAAGTTATCAAAATCCTGGATATCACCAGGGAGCATATTAGAAGTTAAAAAATGTTATTTGCTCCTTTATTCTTGGAATGTCTCTATGGAAGCAAGGTTGTCATGCTTCAAAGAAGGTATGATGAAGCCGGAGAATGTTCCAAGATGGATAACTAAAATGACCAAGGAGATGAAGAACTACCAACTGTGGACAGACTTAACTGAGCATCTTTACCTGGAAAGATGATGTCTGAAAGTAGATATGGTACAAATCTATAGCTAATGTTTAAAATTCAGACCAATTATATTTTATAGAATTTTATATATAAAAAAAATTTATATAACCAATTATATAACTCAATGAGCAGATATTAATATGTTCAAATTCCAGGACATAAATGAAACTGGGAAAATAAACCAATAGAAGAAGGATTAGAAGGAATTTATAACTGATCCATATTACAGTTGTTAGGGGAATTAGGATTGTGTGAGGTTGCATCCTAAACTTTGAACATGGGCATCATGAAAGGGAGCCAAGCCCTTCCACAAAACCTTCTTTGGTGCCTCTTCCAGGGATTTAACACTAGTTGGAGGGAAGACAGGCATGACCCAGCATGGTGACTCATATGCTTAAACAGGAGATGTTTGGAAAAACACATACCATTCAAAGTGTCCTTATCACATCTTTGCTGGGAAGATCCATATTTTCCCACTGGAATTTTATCAAAAGTTAAATTCTCATAGGTACTCTTTTCACAGAAATTAGCTACAATGAAAAGAAAATAAATTTTTTCATCATAAATTATAATTTTCTTTTTTAAGATTTCAAACCAGATAAAAATCAAAGTTCAAAACCTATTCAGTATAATTTGAAGGCTAATAGAAGACTTTAGGACTCACTGACCCACCTGGAACTTCATACTTTTTTTATCTGGTTAATACCATTAGAAAAACTAATATGTTAGATAATAGGTTCTAGTTAAAATGTGCACAGTATATAACCTGGTAGAGGTAGAATGTGGTCACTGACACATCAGAAAGGACAGCGAAATCAGATTAGTTGAAATCTTGAAAATTAAAGATAAAGAAACCGTAGTACCAAAGGGCATCGTGAGATGTGGGTCAAAACAAAAAGACCAAAGTCATGGAGCATGTGAGATACACTAGCTTTTAGGAGTATAGGAAATTATAGGAGTGCATTCCTAAGGCTCTGGATCCTAAGCAGGCAGTGTCAATTGTAGAGAGTATTGAGAAGCATACTACAGATGAAGATGCGGCTTTGAAACATTATTTATAATATCCAAGACATGAAAGCAACCTAAGTGCCTATATATATATATATATATATATATGATTATTACTCAGCCACAAAAAAGCATGCCATTTGCGACAACATGGATAGACTTAGAGGGTATTATGCTAAGTGAAGTAAGTCAGACAGAAAAAGAAAAATACGATATTATTTCAATTACATGTGGAATCTAAAACACAAAATAAATAAACAAAAAACAGAAACAGTTTCATAAATACAGAGAACGGATTGGTGGTTGCCAGAGGTAAGAGGGTGGGGGAATTCGTGAACTGGGTGAAGGGGAGTGGGAGGTTCAGGCTTCTAGTTATGGAATGAATATGTCATTGGGAATGAAAGGTACAGCACAGGGAATGGAGTCAATGGTACTGTAATAATGTTGTCTGGTGACAGATGGTAGCTACACTTGTGGTGGGCATAGCATAATGGATAGAGTTGCTGAATCACTATGCTGGGCACCTGAAACTAATGGAACGTTGTGTGTCAACTATACTTCAATTAAAAAAAGGAGTAGCTTCGAACATTGATTCTGAGAGAGCACAGCCTGAATTCAAACCACTAATTTAATAACATCTCATCCAGAGAAAGGATGAAAAGACAGAAACTTCATCTAAATATATACTTGGATAGGAAGATGTACCTTGATTTCAGAAAAGTTGAATATGTTAGAATTGTGATATTTGAAATGGGGTATACTATAGTGTATCATCAACTTAAAGGACCTGAGGAAATCACACTGCCCACTGCCCTGAAGTAGACACTGCAACCAGAAGGAAAAGCATCTGTCAGTTTACAGAGAAACTTGAGAGTTGGGAAACATAGTGGGTATATTGAACATATAGGTAAATAGCCCCAAAAGAATATTCTGCTATTAAGCTAACAAACACACCTTAAAGCCACCATCACTATACCCACTGTTACTAAATCATTAACAGAAACTTCAAGAAGCTTTGTTGCTGTCCTTATTAACACAAGTCACCGAAACCTCATACCCTAGTATCATCCCAAATAACTTACCGATTGTACATCTCCGTCCTTTCCATAACTCTGGACAAATGCATCTGCCATTTTCCCACGTTCCACCATTCCTGCAGAACCCTACAGGGATGCTTGGTGAGGAGGTTGATAGTTCTAAAAAAAAAACAATAAAAATAGAATAGTACACAAACTGGCTGATCAATTTTTCCTTTTGGGTCTATGGCCTTTAATTTCTATACGTAAAACAATTACTTTGAGTACCTCTGGAGAAATATGGTTTGTAATATCATCATCAACAAAAATATATGTCGAGAATCTACACAGGATTCACAATGCTTACAAGAGGTTATAAAGACCAAAAAACTACATTTGAAAGATGTAATACCTTAATCAAGGAGATTAGAATCTAGTGGGGAAAATAGGAGATTATATAGATGAGATAGATGGATGGATAGATAGATAGGCTGGCCAACTAAGTCAACATGCAGATTTGTAAGTGCTATAAGAACATAGAAGAGCGATGTTGAGGACAGAGGTAATTTCTTCAGGGAGGACTTTCCAGAAGAGGTGGTATTTGAATCAGATTTTAAGACTAAATCTAGAAAAGCCAGATAAAAAAGGATGGCCCCAAATAGGCAGTATACAAAGTGCAAAACCACAAAAACATGGAAAGTTCTGATGTGTCTGAGGAACATAGCAAAGTTTAACAAATCAGGAACATGGTTCTACGTAGAACAGCAGGACACAGACTGGATTGTGAGTGGATTTATAGACCAAGCTAAGGAGATTTAATCCTGCAAGAGTCTAGAGAGATATTAAAACAAGGTAGTTACGTGTTAAAGTATGTGTTTTAAAAAGATACCTCAAGTGATACGGGAAGTGACTGAGGCTGGGAGACAAGGAAGGCCAGTTAAATGGGGATCAAATCTAGAGCAGTAGCTCTAAGGAAGTTAGGTGTCAACAGATTCAGGAAGAGTGCCTGAAACAGGACTGTAAGGATCTCGCAACTAGTTATTTTGAGCTGGGCACATGGGGTCTCCACATTGAAGATAGGGTGGATGGTGAACAAATTAACTAAGCTTAAGAATACAGAAGGCATTTTTTTTCGCTTTTTTTTATTTTATTATGTTATGTTAATCACCATACATTACATCATTAGTCTTTGACGTAGTGTTCCATGATCCATTGTTTGCGTATAACACCCAGTGCTCCATGCAGAACGTGCCCTCTTTAATAACATAATTGGAAAAAAAAGTGAAAAAAATCAATAAATAAAGGAAAGGTTCAGCTGATACATGGCTGAACTAGCTGAAGACTTACTCTTCCTGACTTACTACAATGCCAGCTTCTCCTACTGTTTCTCCATGAGCTGTGAGCATTAGAGGAAGAGGGCCATTTTGGAACTCAAACACTAAGGGGTCCCAGAAGCAATTATTCTTTGCGAATCACTGTCAGGGCCAACATCTGCAAAATCTCTGGGCAGTAAAATGTGGAACTCTGAATACAGAGCCATCAGCTATGTGGCTCTGGACATTCACAAGATCCTCCTCAGCTGAGCTTAGATATGGTAATTCTAAATTTATGCAAAGATTATGAGAGGGCCTTTTACATTAAAGGCTGAGAAAAGCTGTTTTCTTTATTTTTTTTATTCTTTTTGTTTGTTTTTGGTTTTTTTGTTTGTTTGTTTTTTCTTTTCTTTCTTTTAACCTGTCACCACCTGATGCAATTTGCAAACACTTGAACTTTCTGGAGAAATAAAGTACCTGATTACTTACCTAAAAACAAAACAAAAAAAGAATACATAAGGCAGATCTTCTGCTCCAATAATGATAGAGCAGGTTGTATAACTTAACCCTCCCACAGATAACACTTTTAAATTCTGGACAAAAGTTAGAAAGAAGATGAAGAAGAAAACGAAGAAAGGAAACTACTTGGGGACATTCGATGGCAATGAAAAGCAGACAGAAGCTGAAGGCTATTCCAAGTTTACACAGTATTTCCCTAAGGGCACTACCTAGTCTGTATAGCAGGAGTGACTGGAACTCCAGCAGAAAGCTACCGTCTTAATGGATTAAGGTACGAAGTAACTTGTTTGGGGCTACCACAACAGCTGGAAATTGAAGGGAGATATCCAAGAAGAGATGCCATATAGAAAGGTAGCTCAAAGTCTGTGTGTAGATTCCCCTCAAATCTGGGGAGGAAAATAAGATAGAAAAAGAAAATAGAGTTTGAGGGGCATGTGAGACAATATAGAGAAGTCTAATATGTATGCAATCGGAGTCTCAGAAAGTGAGAAGGAATGGGACATATAATATATCAGAAGAAATTATGGTCAAAATTTCTCAAATCTGGCTACAAACTTTAACCTGGAGATCCAAGAAGTTCAATAAAACCCAAGCAAAATAAATACAAGGAAAAATCACACTTAGACATAATATCATGGTCAAACTGCTAAATCTCAAAGATAAGGAAAAAATCTTGAAAGCAACCAACTATTAGCCCAGACACTTTTACTGGTGAATTAGGGAAGAAATAATACCAGCCTCATATAAATTCTTTCAGAAAAGAGAGAAAGACAGAAGCTTCTTATATATTACAAAAGGCCAGGATAACCCTGATACCAGAATCTGACAAAAACATTACAAAAACAGAAAAGTACAGACGAATAAACCTCAATTACACAGATGTAAAAATTCTTTAAAAGTAGCATACCAAATCCAGCAATATATAGAACTGATAATATATCATGACCAAGTGAGGTTTACACCAGGAGTGCAAAGTTAGTTTAACAATAGAAAAATCAATTAATTTAATTCACCATATGACAGAAAAATGGGGGAAGACTGTATGATTATTTCAAAAAGTGCAGGGGCCAAAAGCATCTGACTTTTTTTTTTAACTCTCAGCAAATAAGAAATAAAAGGAAACTTCCTCAAGCTAATAAAAATCTTCTATGAAGAACCTATCAATAACATCATACTTAATAGTGTAATATTGAATGCTTTGCCCCCTAAGATTGATAGAAAAAAGTTTAATCTAATTTCTGTAACCACTTTTATTCAACATTGTACTGAAGAGGTTAGTCAGTGCTAAAGGCAAAACAAAACAAAAGCATAAAGTTAAGAAAGGAAGAAATAGAATGTTCATTTTTTGTTGCAGATGACATCACCAAAGACTTTGAAAATCTTAATGTCTCAAAAAAAGTGAATTTAGCAAGACCGAATGATACGAAATAGATACACAAAATGAAATTCATTTCCACATATTAGCAGCAAATAATTTGAAAATCATTTCCATTAAATTAGCAAAAAAATCATAAAATTTTTGGAAATAAATTTAATAAAACATGTACAAGTGCTCATTATTAAGAGAAAATTTAAAAGACCTAAATAAGCAGAGATATATACCACGTATGTATGGAAGGCTCAAAGTTGTTGAAGTATCTTATTTTCCCCAAATTGATACAGCCAAAATCCTAAAACAAAAGATCATTTTTTGTAGAAATTGACAAACTGGTTTAAAATTTTTATGGAAAAATAAAAGACCTAGAAAAGCCCAAGCAGAGTTTTAAAAGAAGAGACTTGGCTAATTCATATCACTAATATTATGACTTACTATACAGCCAGAGCAGTCAAGACAGTATGACCTCTGCGTAATGACACACAAATACATCAGTGAAGTAGAATAAAGAGTTTAGAAATACAGTGGACCCTTAAATAACACAGGTTGTTGTGCACATTCATTTACACATGAATTTTTGTCAATGAATACAGTACATACAGCAAATGTATTTCCTTTTCCTAATGATTTTCTTCTTCTGTTTTTTTTTTTTTTTGGTTTATACATATTATAGTTTTTCATTGTTGTTTTTGTATTTTTTTAAGTTTTTATTTAAATTCCAGTTATTTAACATAAAGTATAATATTAGTTTTCAGGTGTAAAATATATTGATTTAGCACTTCCATACAACACCTGGTGCTCATCACAAAAGTGCCCTCCTTAATCTCCACTTAAGATTTTTTACTCATATATGGAATTTAAGAAACAAGATGAACAAGGGACGCCTGGGTGGCTCAGTCGGTTAAGCGTCTGCCTTCAGCTCAGGTCATGATCCCAAGGGTCCTGGGATCCAGCCCTGCATCAGCAACCTGCTCAGCAGGAAGCCTGCTTCTCCTTCTGCCTGCCGCTCCCCCTGCTTGTGCTCTCTCCCTCTCTCTCTTTCTCTCTTTCTCTCTCTGTCAAATAAATAAATAAATAAAAGCTTTAAACAAACAAAAAAACAAAAACCAAAAAAACGCCAAGGCAATTCCATTGGAAGAGAAAGCTAAAGATATACCTACCTATGACACAGAAATTCTACTTCTAGATAAATATGCAAAATAAATGGAAATACATGTCCACAAACCGATTCATACGAGAATGCAGGTGTTAGAAACATTGCTATTGTATGTCACTTGGATCCTTCCCTTCAGGTTTGAAGCACTCATTCCTCTAGCTTTTGTGAATGTTGGCAACTGAGAACACTTAGCTGAGTCCTTTTCTAGAACTGCTCTCAACTAAAGAGAATCAGTTCATCCAAGATACTGGTGACATGTGCCATGGCCGGTCAAAGCCAGGGAATAAAGTTTCATCCCTCAGACTCAAGACCTCAAAGAGTATATTTTCTAAAGACAGCTACACTACACATCCCATCTCTCTTACTCTTCTTATAATATGATAACACTTCTCCACTGCAAGATGGAGTTTATGTTTCCTCTCCTTGACTTGAGTGGACTTTTGTATCTGCCTTGACTAATAGAGTGGCAGAAATTATGTGACTTCCAGGCTAGATCACAAAAGATGCTTTGTCTTCTACCTAACTCTCACTCAGGATATATGCCTTGGGAGACCTGAACCTACAGGTAACATGTAAGAAATCCGGCTACTCTGAAGCCTCTGTGCTAGAGACATCAAGGGGAGAAATTACACAGAGAGAGAGAAGACTAAGGAGTTTCAGCTGTTCCAAGATTTTGAGTCTCCTTTGCCCGGACACCACACATGACTGAAGAAAGCTTCAAGATGACCCCAGCTCCAGCTACAGTCTGAGGGCAACTTTATGAGAAATCCTAATCCAGAACCACCCAGGCATGGTGCTTCCAAATTCTGGGCCCAGA